AGAGTTTGAGGTGCATGAAGTGTATGCGGTGGACGTGCTGGTCAGCACTGGAGAGGGGAAGGTGAGCTCCAGTAATTTCAGTGTCTGATATCTCTGTAAAGTTTGTCTAAGTTCATGATTCTAACACTGGAAAATGTTTTCCTCTTTAATCAGGCTAGAGACTCAGGACAGAGGACCACTGTTTACAAACGGGACCCGAGCAAGCAGTATGGGCTGAAGATGAAGACCTCGAGGGCGTTTTTCAGTGAGGTGGAGAGACGCTTTGACGCCATGCCCTTCACCCTTAGGTATACTTGAGCTTTGAAGAATTTAATTCATTCATTTTCCCATTCTGGATGGTCTCAGAATGCATGAAAGAGCCATCATAGGCTAACATAATGTCTCATTTCATGCCATGACAGCACATGGCACAGCTGGGACTCAAACCTAAATCCCAGTGTGCTAGCTGTTGTATGCTTGTCAGCTTTGACAGAGTAAAGGTTTATTCATCATTCTACAAAGGCATCTGAAATTGCTCAGTTTTGTCCTTCCTCAAGATATTTTTTCACTTTGGACTTATTAGCATCCAAGGGCAGGTTTTCTTTCCTGCCTTTTATTTGCAACTAGTGTCCTTCTCTAATGAGAAATACTATATCTGGCACAAACCTAATCCAATTTATCCATACTGTCTTACATAGGACTCATAAATCATTACTGTCTTTCACCTTTTGACTGTTCTCTCTTCCTCTCTCACACTCTATCTCTCATTCACTCTATCTCTCACTATTTCAGGGCATTTGAGGATGAGAGCAAGGCTCGGTTGGGAGTGGTAGAATGTGCCAAGCACGAGCTGCTGCAGCCCTTCAATGTCCTGCATGAGAAGGAAGGTGAGTCATCAGCAAAGTAATGCAGTTTTTGCTCTGTGATTCGTAGAAAGGCCATCCAAGCATGAAGACCACAATCAATTTTCTCTCTCCTTAGGCGAATATGTTGCACAGTTTAAATTCACCGTGCTTCTAATGGCCAATGGCCCCCTGAGGATCACCAGCGGCCCTTTTGAGCCGGAGTTCTACAAGTCTGAGCATGAGGTGCAGGATCCTGAGCTCAAGGTAAGTGGTGGCGGAAGCTAATAGGGTTCAAAGGTGTCTCATGATGTTGCATTGTCATCCAGCATTGTATTTTTTGGTATTAATGAAAGCGGTATGACATTTTATGTTGGTTTATGGTGTCTCTTTTTGCTTTCTACAGATCTTGCTGCAAAGCTCAGCCAGCCGGAAGGCACAAAAGAAAAAGAAAAAGAAGGTTAGTTACCATTTCGACCCCAACGAAAGTCTGTAATCTCAAGCTGAAATCAAAATGGACCTTTTTTTATTTTATTTTTTTTTACCATGTTAGTTCATGTTGTATGGTCATATTAAGATTCAGCATCAGTCAGCATATCAGTGGTGTGGGTTGACAAGCAGTGAAATGCTCATGGAGAGAACAATAGTAAACTAGTTGGAATTCTTCCTAAGGTATTAGTTTCACTGCTATGCCACAAATAAGGCCATATAACACACCATACATACAGTACAAAACAAGCTAACTGTAGCCCTTTAATGTTACCTGAATGGCTGAGTCTAAGCATCTAAAATTATTTATTTATATGTAACATCTCTGTGTCTCTGTGGGTCACTTTGAATTGAAGGTGGAATGTTAACACTACAAACAAAAAAAAAGAAAACAATTTGGGTCAGAAAAAAGACTTTGGGTCAACTCTTAGTTGAGGTTGGTGCTACAGAGGTCTGTAAAGAATCTCTAAAAGAACATTTGCATTTGTAAAGATTTGTATTTTTTTTTTTATACTTGCCCGTTGTTTCTAGGCCTCCAAGACAGTGGAGAATGCCACAGGACAGCCGATGGAGGAGGAGAACGAGACAGCCAAGTAGCCCCCTCCTGCCCCTAATGCCAGCTATACTGACCGACAGAGAAAGACGTCCTGCGAACAACCCAAAGAACAGAATCGTCAAAGCCAGTCCTGACGTGCCCCACTGAGAAGCCTTCTGGCCTAGCCATCTATCTGTCTAAATACCTCCGTGTTAGCTATATTAACACAGCTATAGGGTTCACACTTTATCTGTGTTCCCAAACTTCATGCAGGCTGGTTGTCCTCAAGGTAGGCCTCTCTAGAGGAGGTTACAGACAAGGAGGTGCTAGATACAAACTGACCGCTTGTGTTTACAGGAGGTGTGTATTGGTTGGGGGTGGGGGCGTTTGCCCCTCTTATTTAACAAACTGTCACTGTAAAAGCAATCACAGAAAATAAAAGTAAAGTGGCGGCACTGTCGAAGTATCATTACTGCAGTGTGCCAGTTATTTCTCTAGAACTGAGACTCCTGTTTCAGATTTCATTTTGTAATGCGTGACTGGCCTATTGGGAAAAACTGTTCTTGTTTGTATTTAGATGTAAAACTGCTCAAACTTTGGTATGATCTCTGCTTCACAGCAATGTAGATTTAAGAAAGCAACTACATTGGAAGTGTTATTAGCTGGATTGTGATGTAGTCTGGTCTTGCTACTGTCAAACAGAATTCATTATTCATTTTATACTTGCCAGTTATGAGAAACCGACACTTGGCATTTGTGTTATCCTTGCAGCTGACCTGTGTCTGACCTTAAAAGCCAAATGATCCTGCCATTTTTTACGATTGTAAAATGAATAAATGAAATTGGCCAATACAGCGTTCATCGTCTGATTTCTAAGTTTACTTTATTTGCTGTTACGCTATGGTGTTGTACTGCTGTCCTTCTGAAGTGTATAAAGGGGGATTAACAAATTATACAGAGAAACATGAACTACAATCTGTAATTGTAGAACTACAAAGTGCACCCATGTGGGAAGTGCTGTCAATCAGTGTAAATAGAAGGCACAAAGTGACCAGTGAGTGTGTATGTGAGGTTATGACTTCTTATATCCATGACTAATAAAAGGTCTTAAACAATTGTGTACAACAGATCTAACCCTGTGTTAGTAAACTGCAGGCTAGGGGCAGCTGTAGCACTGTTTGACTATTCCTGTTGGGACTAATTACCTGAACTGCCCAACTGAGGTCAGAGAGTGAGATAAAATTGGAATATTATTGCTCTGTCCACAAACACTATATAACCATTCACAGTCTGTTATTTGGCTGAGGAGTTAGTGGCCATGAGGCCTTATGAAACAAAATTGTACTTACTGGTAAATAATCATGTACATGCAATGTGGTAATCCATGGTAATCAGAAAAGTGTTTGATTAGCACTATAACTAGCTTGTACAGGGATTTAATGACCTTTCTTTTCTTGTATTATCAAAATTGGTCCAGGTGTATGGAAGCATGTCAGTAGCGAAACTAAAATGAAAACGTATTATGTAAAGTGGCAATACATTTGTTTGTTTGCATTTAAATTTTTCACTCATTTATGCAACGTTGAACTCAAAATGAAAATTCATATTTAATATGGCCATTTTTTTTTTTGCCATTTAGTGTACTAGCTTTGACATTTCATTTCATGACATTTCTACCTTACATATATGCAAACATACAAATACACTGCTATTTTACATATGACATTTTCGTTTTAATGTCACTACTGATATGCTTCCATATTTCTAGACATCTTTCTAAGATCTGAAAAGTGGCAGCATTTCTTTTTAAAAATGTTCTTGTCTCCTCCGTCCAACTGTACCTCTCCATTATGCTATTTATGTTTTTTGCTATTGTGTCTGTTGTAAGAGGCATGTGAAGGAAATCTGTCACACTAAATTTATGTGTAAATACATTATTTTTCCTGGGAAAAAAAGCTTCCGCTAAACATTTTTCTGCCGAATTTGTTAGCATTTATGCATATACGTTAGTCTACATATAGCCTTAGCTGGCAAACTTGTTAGAGTTTTAAATGTTTTTCCACAAAAAAAATCTTTAGGACAGACATTTGGTTATTGAGAGTGAAAGTGCAGAACTATGTGATTCGTGTGTGAAACGCAGCACTTAAATCCAGGCAGTGGGGTCTTTGCACTATGCAAAAGTAGGCAGCAGCCTAGGGCCCCAATGAGCCAAGGGCCCCATACAAATACAAATTAGATATACTGTATGTGCAAATGTACAGTATATCTATACCTATTCCAAAATACATAAACTTTTTTACTTTAGCTTTTATTAAAAAATCAGTGCAACCATATTATCTTACAATATTGGCAAATGCTTTCGCTCATTTCAAGCACATTTCTTAAAACAGCAACAAGAACAAAAAAGATCTGCCAAAATAGTGAGATAAATTCACTTAATGTAAAAAATTATTTCCCAAAGTAAAAAATTCTAGAAATAAGTTTAATACTGTTATAATATTCTTACAGAAATCCCAAATTTCATTTGGCAAGACATTTTTGTACTGTAAACAGTATCAAGACACTAAAGTCTAAATTAAAAATGTGCATCCAGGGAACCCAGTTCCTGTCTTTCCCCCCCAGAGGCACTAAATCCACAGCTGAATCCAGTGGTACAAGAACTGAAACACTGTCTTCATTGATATTTCTCCAAATATTATTTACTGTTTTCACAGCACTGTCATGTAACTTGAAATTTGCCTGAAATTTTTTCTGTTTTACTTCCGAATGGTAGACTAATCGATCCAAGACAGGGTTGGGCTCTCCGGTCTCAGATGGCTGCAGTCCTGCACAGTTTGGTTATTTTCCTGCTCACATAACTGCTAAAACTCGTGGCCCTACACGACCATATATAGTTGAGCGTGTCTGATCTAAAGTCACAGATCAATCTAGGCTACACTTCAGTAAATGTTTTTTATAAAAAAAAAAGGCTTTTCAAAATTTATGTTTCACCTAATTAAACATTGTAAACAGAACAGTAAAATAAATGTATTATTATTATGTAACTAAAGACTCGTCTGATTTTTGCTGTTCTCAGTGCCTCGGGTGAAAACGTGACCCCTGCGGACTACATTACCCAAAACTCCCGCCGGTGGTACGCGTTGTGACGCAATGAAGGTGTATAAAAGCTCGCGCTTCGCGCTATGACGCCCTCTTGAAGTCGTTGCTTCGCTTGTGGAGGTGAGGAGAGCTGTTCTTCTCTGAGGGGTTGGGATAAGCTGGAACAATCCAAACTAATCACGACTGTTTAAGCGCCATCCATTAATATTTTCAACTTTTCTCTCCTTACAGAAACGCTTCCAACATGAGAGCGAAGGTAAGTAGATGCTTTACTGTCGATATTTGTACGTTTTTACAGGTAGCTTGTCTGCTAGGAACAATGCGGCTAACCGAGCTCACCACCCTGGACGCTAAAGAGACTAGCTGCGGCTAAAATGTTAACGGTTTTACAGTTGCACTACGTTCCTGTGTAAAGGTAGTGACGGATCTAAGGACTGAGTACTGAGTCTTGTTGTCTTCAAGCCTTTCCACAAACAGCTTCTTGGTGAAGGTGCAGGTTTTTCTGTAAGAGCAAGAAAATGGCGGAGGGTCGGCAGTTTGACTTAAGGAAAATTAGTCGCCACCGTTTCGAAACTACAGTTAACACCAGTTCACGTGCCGAGCACACAAAGCTTGAGCTTTTCATGTACGTTTTTAAACGTCTGGAAACGGTAGACGGGGTATTAAAGTTGGTGTTGACCATGCTGCTGCTAGCCATGCTTGCTCGTTAGCATTAGCATTTATCTATTCTCAGGCGCGCGCTGTAGCAGGTAGGCCTAACAGTTGCTGCACGTTTGCTTTGCTGTTGTCTAGATTTGATTAACACTACGGCTACTGAAGCAGACAGGCTTATTTCGGAAATGTTACGACGAAGCGTGAGAGTGCTATGGCTAACTAGCGTGTGGATATTACGTCGTATTCGTAATTAAAGCCTGTTTTTAGCTTAAAGGGAAGCTCCACCAATTTTTCAAAGTTTTTGGATTCAGTATTGGTTTTGATTCTGTCTTAAACGTTAAGACTCAGTGGTTAGATGTGACGTGGTTAAGTGTAAGAAAACCTACAGACTGACTTCTTAAGTGATGGTGATGGGAACCAGGGGTACTGTCTACAACAGTCGTTTTATTTACCATCCCAAACTACCAGCGATTCTACACGTACGAGTTTTTATCTGCAGTGTTAACTTCAGGTTCGACTTGACATTTTCTTCAGGGTCTATTTTGTTTACAGGGTTAGAATGGGTTAGAAAATTAAGCCAAAATTTATCACATTAGAACTGTCAGACATCAGGCAGCATATCTAACAACATGTAATAACTTTGGGGTAACTTTTTAGGTGTTAACTCAAGACATCTGGTCCCATCACCAAAGCTAAAAAGGATGTACTTTGTGGAATTTAAAAAAAGAAAAGTCGGGAGTTCCCCCTTTTAAAGAAATGGTTTGCTGAAGGCACTTTTCTTCCTACCCCACATGTAGTTAGCCAAGGCATGTTATGCATCTGAAGCTTTGGCTTCTGAGCAGTTTTTTCCACCAGAACTGAGTCTGATGTGGCTAACAAGTTTGCCCAAAATTTACCTTGTAGCTTCAGTACAGAACTAAAGAAGCAAATTGTGTCCCATGCATTGGTTGACATCTAAGAGGGGTGAAAGTGGAGTAGATTTCATGAACTATTCTTTTAAATACTTACAGTAAACATTAGTGAGGCACATACCTTGTGCTGGTTTGAGTATTCCTGATGTTTGATTGCCTAGGTGGGAACTAAAGCTTTAAGTGTCTGCATAAAGTCTTGTCCTGTACTGCATGTCCTAAAGTGTCCTTTTTTTTGTTTTTTTTCCCTTCAGTGGAGAAAGAAGCGCATGCGCAGGTATGTAGCCCTTGTTCTTGACTGTCCATTTCTTCAGCCTGTTTATTTGCACAAAAACTTATGGTTCCTGTTGGGGTTTTTTTTGGTAGGCTGAAGCGTAAAAGGAGAAAGATGAGGCAGAGGTCCAAGTAAACAGCACCCTGTCTGCTGTAGCTGGGATCCTGATCATCTTGGATTTCCCTCAGTGAGTCTTGCAGAGACCAACTGGAGAGGTGCTGTTCATCCTTCGCCTAAGAAGAAGCTGTCTACACGACATCCATCCAAGCCAGCCATCACCTTGACGGAAGAAGTGTCCTCTTCCTGGCTGCCCAGTTGGTTCTTGGTCTTGATGGACTTGCAAACTCTGGACATTCCATACTTCTCAGCTCAGCATCTTTTTGTTAATACCTCCAATAAAATGTTTAAAACGTGTTCTCTTGTGCAGTGTGAGTAAATGATCAGAGATTAATGGATGCTTTAGTTCAGTGGATCAGTTCTGTTTGGAGGTGCTTACTCTGGGCATGTTTCTTTGGAGTTTCACCATGCTGCATTAGGACAAATATTAAGTAGGGGGTTCTGGGACTAGATTGGGGAATGATGCCTTGGTGTTTAACTACTTATAAAATGATGAGGCATGTAGGTGGGCAGAAGTGCCTAGTTTGGGAACCTGTAATATAATATGCAATTACAAGGTGTAGCTGTCTTTATGGATTTACTGGCAGGATCTGATAGCTAGGTCAGCGCCTCTTGTGCTGAGAAGCTTTTGAGTACAGGTGCTGATGTACATAACGCTACCAATGTGGACAAGTATCGGTTCTGCAGCATCGGCAGGTTAGATATAGTATTTTTGATGCCCATGCATTGGCCATTTGATCTTTTTTATAAGTATTATGGTTTCTGACTAGTGTTTGCACAAATGTTAACTGTCTCCCCTGCCCTCGAGCCAATCTCAGTATGCTGGTGTAGGTACAAATACGTTCGCTAAACGGCAATGATGGAAACTTTAGACAACTTCTGGTCACTGAGTTAAGTAGTCAGACAACAGTGGTCCTATGGTCAGAAATTGACCACTGATCAAGGGTTAACATCTGTATGACGGATCTACATCAACAAGGTAAGCCTATACAGAGTTAAGCTAGCATCACTGCTGTTCCTGATTAAGTTGTACCAGTGCAAGAACCCACTGCCCTGTTGGCGTCGCTGCTATGCTGCGAATAAGCCTATCGCCAGTGGTTATGACATGGCGATACTTCTATGCTGATGTGTCGGTGTACAAGTATGGCACGTGGATCTGGAAATGGATGGCGAAGGCAGGTGTGCTTACTGGCGACTGTGGCCAATGGATGCCTTTAAATTTGAAGTCATTACAGTTAATGTCAAGGTTATTGAAAATGCTAAAACAAATCAAGTCATTTTGTCTTATTGGTCTGTTACTTCCATCGTAAATACATACAGAACTGTAGGTAGGATATATGCCTCCTCTCCTGTGTGCAGTAGGGAAGCATTTGGCTTAACACTTCATTGAGTTGAAACACTGAACAAACGGTGCACCCAGTTGACTGTAGTGCGCTGTCAGTGAGACTACTTGAAAACAGCAGCTGCTTCTGGTTCTTAATCACATGTTTTTCTCTCCTGTTTACGCAGTTGAAAGGGGGATATTGTGAGACAGTTAAGCTTCTGATAGTTGATTCAGAGGAAGAAACTTTAACTTGTCTGGTCAAGTCAAACATGCAAACTGATCAGTGGTATTGGTACTCATATATATGTATGAGAAAGATGTGTGTGTGAGATTCTCAAATTCTCGCTGCAGTTCTTTATCATAAGGGGAACGTCATGGTGATTTGGCTGTACTGAGTGGCAGGAAGCTATTCATGTCAAGGCCACCAGAAAAGACGAAGACAAAACAAGTGGTCTGTCTGGAAATGGCCTGGAACCTCCACCGCTTTTTTTAAGTGACACAGTAATGTGAATAGATTAACCATAATACACTGCGCTTCACACTTAATGAACGTACAATACGTGTTTGACTTATTTATGTGAACTATTTTCCCTCCTTTTATAAACAGATCAGCGGCCTGGAGGCAGAGAGACTCCCACTCTCTCTGTGTTTACTCGGCTGCTTTAAAGTCTAAAAGTTCTGACAGCTTTGCTCGTCACATGGCTGTATTGTGTAAACACCTCGGGCACAGACTGGTCTGCAGTGAGGGGGATGGTTGTGTACACCCCGGCACAGCACACACAGACCCGACCGCTCACACTGCGCTCCAGGGTCTTCAGGTTTACTCGGTAACGGATGTGGCTGCAGTCGCACGTTATCTCGTGATGTGCTCAAGTGTGTCGCTGTAGCTACACATGCACTTCAGCTTAACCAAAGATCGGATTTCTGGATTTGCTATTTTCAGCATTTTTGATACTTTGCTTAAGCGGACACTTTTGTGATGAATGTGTTTTTTCATCGGTTCCATTTTAGTCACATTTAGTTGCTACTTCTTTTCCGTCCATTTATTTACTAATTTATTTAGTTGCCCATTTTTTAAATTTCATTTCATTCTTTTCTGTTGGTGACAGCATCTCGTGTACTTTGTGTTGCTCTCATGAGTGTATGCATTTTATTTTAGACCAAAAGAACCCAAAAAAGAGGAGAATATCGCCTAACAAACTTAAAAGGCCCATATCGTAGATATCCTTATTTTCCTAACTTTAAAAAAAGAATTTGATGCAGTATATAGCGTTAGTTTCAAAACAAGCCATTTATTCCCCAGTCCATAAAGTCCACATGCGGAATTTATTATTTTTGTGATGTCACAAGAATCAACACATCTGCATTTATCCACCTATTCAGCCTCCAGCGGTTTAGCTCCGCCCACTCACACTGAAGCGTTTCAGCTACGACTATTTCCGATGTTTTCTGAATGAAGCACATACAGTGCAACCAGTCTGAACAGGTCTGAAGACACAGTGACAAAATCAGCCTGTTTAATTTGACAAAGCGAGCTTCGTTAATGGTCACGTATAAATAAATGACCACAGTGCTTGGTGCATAAGACCACACTAATGTTATATAGTGGACCGCAGTGGGGAAAAACGTAGGTTATCGGCTCTTTAAGTTCTTGTGCTGAGAGATGCTGCCAAGATGTTCCACTGCAGTTCTAACTCTGTGCTTTATTTTTTATCTGGTACTTCTTTTCTCCTACTAAAGTTGCTTTTAGCTATTGTTGCTCTCTGAAGCAGCACTTTTGAGGATGTTTTTTAACTTGCTAACTCTACCCACTCCAGCGAGACTCAGCTTATTTTCCGCAGACAGGCTAGCTAGCTAATTGGTGAAGCTCTGTAGTCTGAGGGCTGAGCTTCTGAAGACACAAACTAGGAGCTGCAGCGTACAAAACACGCCCCTACTTGCCGAGCGTAGATAAAATACAAGCCAAATCCAGACAGCCTGGTGTCTTAACACAGTTAGCTCTGCTACTTCGCCTGAGAAGACTGTTTATTAACCGTCCTCTCTATCTTCAGTAAATCTTTTTTTGCTGAAGTGCTGATGGTCTTCTCAACATCTGTCCGTTGGTAAGCTGTGGGCGTCGCTGCTGAGCTCGGAGCTAAGCGGGGAAAAGTAGCGGTCTGGCGGAGAGAGAGACGTGGCCATGGACGCCGGAGAAGATGCGGGTTCGGCTTCAGCTTCGGTTTCGTCCGCGGAGGCTCCGGGGAGACACGCCGTGTCCGTACTGCTGGCCTTCGGGAAGTGCCTGGGTGCCCTGTTGCCCGTCTACTTGGCCGGCTACTTCGGGCTGAGCCTCTGCTTCGTCGTGCTCGGCCTGGTGGTGTACCTGGGATGGAGGCAGCACCGCGACGGCAAACAGGCGAGACTCAACACCGCCATGTACGTGCTGGAGAACGAGAGAGACTTCACCACCACCAGGCTGTTCAGGAGCAGACGGGACCTGCCGGCATGGGTAAGGAAGGGAAGGGGGGCTTGTTAGCCGTGATTGTCCATACAGATGTCGTGCAGATGGAAACATATGCTCAGCACGCTTCAGGCTTCCCGTTCAAGATAGAAAACCAAAACAGTCTGGCTCATTTTGGAGTAACGTTGAAGGTGTTCATGTGTGGCACGTCAGGTCTTATGGGGGATGTGTGACGGACTCTGCCAAAGCCATTCTTTTCTTCTCTAATGTAATTAGACAAGTTACAGTATTGCTTTTCGCTCACCTAGATAGAAGCAGCAGCCTCATCTGAAACTGAAATAAACAGATTCTTAAAAAAGTTTTGGATAATGAAATTGTCCAGATGTAAACAAGATGAAGAGGGGTTTGATGTGAGTTGCTCCAGTCTAGACAGAGTAACTGTTCACAGTGGTGATGATAGGAACCAGACATCTCAAGTGTTTAATGCCTCTAAAAGCTACAAGTCAGTACATGGAATAGGAATGAGACACTGTTTTGCGATAGTTTTGAGATAAAGTTGTATCCCAAACATATACATTTTTTTAAAATCCATTCATGGCGGAGTGGCATGTACAGGGTGTTATAAAACAAAATAGTACACGTTTAAAAAAGATGGTTAATTTTTTTTTCAGTGTCTTCCAGTATTTTTGAATAAGGCTTTTTTCCGCACAATAGATAGTATTATACTGTCATTTGTGTGGGGAGGAAAAACCTCTAGGATACAGGAGGAGCTTATTACAACGACAAAGGAAAGAATTTGGTTTGGCTCTTCCTAACTTTATGCAATACTATTGGGCAGCTAATGTGCAGATAGTAGTACTTTGGCATCAATCCCCACAGTTAAATTGGTGTAGCTGGGAAGCCGATGCTTGTACTTCATCCTCGCTTTCAGCCCTAATAACAGCTAATTTACTTCTACCCGCTTTGACTTCTGCAACTTGCCCTGTTGTTAGATCCACTTTGAAGATATGGTCCCAATTTCGGCAGCATTTTGGCCTCACTGAATTTTCAAATCTTGGTCCTATTTGTAAAAATCATTTGTTTATTCCTGCTGCTATGGATCGGGTCTTTAATGATTGGCGTAAAAAGGGCATCAGTAGATTTGCAGATCTATACATTGATGAAGTCTTTGCTTCTTTTTCTGATCTTTCAGTCAAGTTTCAATTACCACCTTCTTCGTTTTACAGATACCATCAAATTTGGAATTTTATGCGTAATCAGTGCTCTTTTTTTCCTTTCCTGCCACCAAAAACTCCCCTGGAAGATATTCTTGAATTACCCATGATAAATAAAGGTTTAATTTCAAGAATTTATAATAAAATTGCTCCCACACATAATACTCGTTTAGAGATAATTCATACAGCTTGGAACAAAGAGTTGGATCTGACTATACCTGAAGAAACTTGGAAATCAGCTATGAACATAATCAACAGATCTTTGTCATGTGTACGGATTAACTTTATTCAGTTCAAGGTCCTTCACAGGGTTCATTACTTCAAAGTGAAACTGGCAAAAATTCAACGTGGGACAGATGAGCTATGTGATCGTTGTCATTTAGATAAAGCTGACCTAACGCATATGCTTTGGACTTGTCCTATTTTTGTTTTGGCAGTTACTAACGGTTTATCAGAAGTATTCAATCTAGAAATTGTGCCAAGTTTTGAATTATGTTTATTTGGGTTGATTAACACAGATTCAAAAATTCCAAATTAGGAGGCCTTGGCCTTTGCATCCCTTTTGGCAGGAAGGAGGATATTGATTAATTGGAAATCTCCATGTCCACCGAAGACCTCACAGTGGCTCTGCGATCTTATGCTTTTCCTTAAATTAGAAATGATTACGTTTTTATCTAGAAAGGCTTCTGTATAATTCCATAGAACGTGGGATCCCATGATTGCATGTTTTGAGAAGCTGAAAAGTCTCCCCACTAACTAGCATCCCTCCCCCTCTTCTTCTATGTAAAGATTACTCTTTAGGTTAAATAATTACAATCTCAATATCTGTATGTACAGTAATATGACCCTGTATGCATGTTGTATGTGTCTGTTTTCTTCCTAATTATGAACAAGATACAAGTACTTCCTGACCTAATCATTACTATGAGAATATATATTTATGTAAGGTTTTTCTTTTTCTCTCTAATATTGTTCTGATTATGATGTAAAATGTGGAACATATATAACTGTCTGTAATCCTGTATCTGCAAAGACCCACGAATAAAAAATAATGTTAAAAAAGATGCTTCATTAGGGTTCTTTAGTAAAGACACTGGGTACATATAGAACCATGAACACTCAAAGAACCATTTGCATACTTAAAGGGTTCTTTCCATGGTGAAATGGTTTTTCAGAGTGACGAAAAATGTGTTGTATATAGTTCTATACAGAACCTTTTTGAAAATAGTTTTACATAGCACCAAAAGTGTTCTTCTGTTGCTGCAAGCCTGACAAAATAACAGCAGCAGATCCCTTTTGGGGTTACATAAGCCTTTTCAAAAAGTTTCTATATAACCATATACAGCACTCTCCACTCACTTGGAAGAACCTTTTCACCATGGAAAGAACCCTTTAAGCATGCAAGGGGTTCTTTGAATGTTCATGGTTTTATATAGAGTCATTATCTTTATTAAAGAACCCCTGAAGAACCATCTTTTTAAAGAGTGCTTCCAAAGGAAATTTTTCAGATGTATAACTATTTTACTGTTATCAACCTTACATAGAAAAACTCAGAAGACAAGTACAGGTTCTCTGGCCATTTTGGCTGGTAAATGGTTATATTTGCCTTGTAGACATTATGACGCCCGATTCCTAGCACTTCATTTGTCAAGAAATGTGAGTCTGTAAGCTTCTCTAGAATGGAGAATTTCACATGAAACCACACTGAATGACTTTGTTTACATCTCAACGAGTAATGCAGAAATGTAAAAAAATCTGTGGAATCCTCTGTTAATAGCATGAATATGATGGCAGGCCTGATCTGAAAGTGGAATAAACAAAGCCTTTCTTAAAGTCGCCCATAATACCTGTTGGCCCAGAAAACAAATGCTGAACATGTATAGCTGGATAGGAACGGCAAGAATTTAATGGACAGTTTAATTCTGAGCATGATTCCCTACGCCTTATTTACCTTGAGATATTTTCAAAAATGGTTAGTACACAATCCCACTATTTGAGGAGATAGTCATTCCAGGCTGTGGATGAAATGTTTATGTCCCTTTTAGTGACAACAATTAAAATCCCTAATCCCTTATTTATGCATACAGTAGTAAAGCGAAGTATATTAATCACTTCTTGGTATCACTTGGTATCACTGACCCATATCATCAGTCATGTATACAGTGGACTGGAGAAAGCGATGACAGTTTGATACTGTCTTTCTCTCAACACTCAAATGCATCCCACATGCTCTCTGTGACAGAGTTTGTGTTGGTCTTGCTATGGTCCGTCCTCTTCTCCTCCCCCATCCCTCATTAGCGCTGGCACATTCCACAGCCCCACCAGCCCTTGCTATATTTGGACATTTAAGGGTCTGATCTCCAGTGACTCAGCAGACTATGAGATGCCAAGATGAACTGTGAGAAACAAACAAACTATGGCAAGAATGTGCCAGGAAAGGATGGAAAACATTTTTCAGTAGTTTGAAGGATTTCTGAAGCAAGATTGAATTAAGAGGAAGATTGTACACAGAGTTTAGTTGTATAATAGGGTCTTGGTTACTTGGAACTGCTGTTTGGTCAGCTGTACCCACATCCTCTTTCACTTCTGTAGTTTTAACAGTGTGCCTTGTTTCTATGACTCTATTGTAGGTATAGAAAAGTTCTAGTACATTTTTAAACTTAATCTCCATCCAATTAGTACACCTGATTCAACAGAGTAAAGTCTTGATTGATTACTTTTCTTACTTTCTCCAGTATAGTGCTGTTTATTTACAGTAAAGATACTGCATCACACAGTTGCAACATATTGATGTGACCTGAAAATACAGGTTATTACTGCATTACAACTGTACTATTTCACAGTAAGGTGTTGTTTATGTGTAGCACTGTTACATTGTACTATAATTTCTATTGTAATGTCATTTCTGTCAGAATAATACAGACCATAATTACACAGGTGAACTAGTTCACTAAAACCAGCATCATGGTTGGAATAACAAAACATGTAAAATGCAGTCAAATGTATTTTTTGTGGTAGGAATAACATAAAATGACATTAAAAAGTACTGTAGATGAACCAATAAAAGTTTATTAGCAAGAGCTAACAAGTGTAGACTGCTCAAGACAGCCCCACAACATTACACTGGAAATTTGACAGTTTTACATAAATGTAGTAGAGCTGCATTCTGATAATAACTCTGATGTTGTGTTCTAGTTGCAGACCATTCTGGATACACTTAAACAGCCTAACTGACCTTCCTTTTTAAATGCTATTTTATAAACAGGATGTCACACTCACAATCTGATTAATCTGGTTAGTCTTTTATATGAATTTTGCTTCGAAACTCTAGATTACGTTTAAGAGGAACAGACTGTTATCTACAATCTTGTATGCTGCGTAAGAACTAAGCAGCAAACCAGAATTTGTATGTTTGTATGTCTATTTTCCTATTTCTTCTACACAGCACTGACATGTTTATCTCATACCTGTTTGAGTATTTTTCTAAGTAAAATAATCAGAATTAGAATCACTTGATGGTCCAAGTGCCTTTGCATGTATGAGGAATTTGTCTTGGTAGAACTGTTGCATAAATTGACGGTACAGAATCCAAATTGTAAACAAATAATACAAAAAATGAGGGTTATCACAAACTATAGATTATCCACTGTGTGTGAACTACATGGGTATACAGGGTACAGGGTATATACAACAATATAAATCGAGGGTCACCAGTCTTATCCGCAAAGGGCTGATGTGGGTGCAGGTTTTCATCCAAGCTGATTGAGACTGAGACCAACTGAATAAACAAGTGGAATGAAGTGTGTTTCTGCTTCATTGAAGTAAAAATCTGAAGCCATACTGGCCCTTTTTGGAAAAGAATGGTGACCCCAAATGCAGGTCATTTGAAATATGTTTGTAAACAATTCCTATGTTATATTAATGTGCAGTTATACGTTTATCATATGTTTGTGCTTGTCATTTATGCAGGTGAATTACCCAGATGTGGAGAAAGTGGAATGGCTTAATAAGGTATGATATATTATCATCACATACTTATTCTCATGGACACCCATACAGAAAAGGAATATACTGGAACAGCATACATTGTATTATATTTTCATTATATTGCATTTTGTGTGTGCATCAAATCATGTAACAGTATTTAATGTCCCTGGAGCCTCCATGTCTTGGAGGCATTTGGCTCTTCACCATTCTTTTCATTGTTGTTGATCAACATCATGAGAACTCAGTCCACATCACCAAGACCTGAGACCCAAAGCTGTTTATTAGCAGCCACAGGCTAGGTCTGATTAAATAAGGGCCCACTATTATGGTGGAATGTAATAAAGTCTTGCACAAATAAGAGATTGTGATTAGATCATCTGCAGAATAAGGCAGGTCTTGCACAAGACCATGTCTTCTGTCTGTCTTAATTTCCCTGCCACATGACCTTTTTTGCGCAGTCCCCACCCTGTCACTTTGAGTCATAACAGTCTCTACACATCCGTCACTTTAGATGGTAAACCTTTTGTGTTTAACACTAGGAATTCGTCATGCCTAGCAACACTTTTTTGAGCAATCTCTGATAAAAAAGACTATGAAAGCAAAAGATAGCAGTAGCGCAAATAGAGTTTGCCTTTTGTGCTTTAGAATTTCAGAGGAAGCTTCAAAACCACTCTTCTAAGCTTTAGCACTGGAAGTAGAGTGTTTGCAGAACAGCTTTCGCCAAATTTCTCATCCTGACCTCAAGCCTCACACTGCAAAACCAATGACAGGTCATGATACACACTTGCATTGACTTTAAATAGCTCAGCCAAACATGCTAACTTGATTAACATAGAATGCATTGCTAATTGCTAGCTGTTCAGTTTCATTCATTACACTGAAGCAAATGAATACAAGCAACACAATTCTCACCCAAAGAATATACTATAAGACAACAATTGTGCTTATTCAATGTATTTTATTTATGTGCTGTGATGTAAATGATGAAAATTCAAAACACCATTTTCTCCCATATGCTAGCCACTTTGCTTTTTTTGATTGAACTTTTCGTTTAAGTCCAAAAGCCAAAAACATGTTCTTCTTCACACTGGAATGACAGTGGAATGCTGACTGAGCAATGCTATGTTTTGTTTCAGACTGTCTCTAGTCATGGTAACGGCTGGTTTGTTGGTATTTTTAAAATAACTAATGATTAATGACATTCTTAATGGCATAAATCATCACTTAAACGCACATTAATAGTTTATCTTTGTGTTTTTCGATATAAAATATTTTTTGTGTTTGAGTCACTGTGCACAGTTCTGGAAGTGAGTTTTTGTGAGTGAACTTTAGATGTGAGAGGATATTGGGTGGTTGCCTAATTGTACAAAACCCTGAGTTTATTTTATTTAAAAATTCTTGCTTATTCTGATTAGTTGATTCTGCACAACCTATTACAGAGGAGTATTTTGTTATTATGTATTTAGTACATGAAATGCTATATTAAGCTATGCTTGCGTTTATAAGTCTTCACTGCATTGCATACTTATATGTATTTACAACCCCATTTCCAAAAATGTTGGGATGCTGTGCAAAATGTAAATAAAAACAAAATGCAATGATATACAAATCATTTAAACCCTATATTCCATTGAAAATAGTACAAAGACAACACATCAGATGTTGAAACTGAGAAATTGTATTGTTTTTTGAAAAATATATGTCTATATTGAATTTGATGCCAGCAACACGTTCCAAAAAAGTTGGGATGGGGGCATGTTTACCGCTGTGTTTCATCACCTCTTCTTTTAACAACCCTCTGTAAGCGTTTGGGAACTGAGGAGACCAACTGCTGTAGTTCTAAAACTGAAAAGTTTTCCCATTTTTGAGAGCAAGCTGAGTGGTCTTTAGCTTGGAGGACACAGTGTCCATAATTTCCAAAAAGAAATTTAAATGTTGATTCGTCAGACCTTAAGACATTTTTCCATTTCCCCTCAGTCTATTTTAAATGAGCTTGGGTCCAGAGAAGGTGGCAGCATTCCTGGATCCTGTTTATATATGGTTTCTTCTTTGCGTTTAAGAGTTTTAATTAGCATTTGTGGATGCATTGATGAACTGTTTTCATAGACGGTGGTTTTCAGAAGTTTTTCTGAGCCCATTCAGTGATTTCCACTGCAGAATCATGTCTGTTTTTAATGCAGCCTTGTCCGTTGCATACAGAGATTTCTCCAGATTCTCTGAATCTTTTAATGTTATTATTTACCAAAGACGATGAAAAGCAAAAATTCTTGAATTGTTGCACTATTTGATCATGCAGGTCTTTCACAGAGTGATGAACTCTTCCTCATCATTACTTCTGAAAGACTCAGCCTCTCTGGGATGCTCTTTTTATACCCAGTCATGTTACTGACCTGTTGCCAATTAACCACCAGGTGTTTTTTTAAGCATTACAAATCTTTACCAGCCTTTTGTTGCCCCCGTCCCAACTTTTTTGGAACGTGTTGCTGGCATCAAATTCAAAATGGGCATATATTTTTCAAAAAATAATACAATTTCTCAGTTTCAACATCTGATATGTTGTCTGTATTGAAGCATTTTCAATGAAATATAGAGTTTAAATGAAATGAAAAGCATGTATTTATAATTTACATATTCAAATTAATGGGTGCCATTATGATAATGCTTTATCAGCAGCCAGTCAAATAGTTCCTCCTGTGTTGTCATTGTTGTGCAGATCCTGCAGCAGGCCTGGCCTTTTGTAGGCCAATACTTGGAGAAACTGCTGGTGGAGACAGTCGCCCCCTCAATCAGGACCTCCAACACACACCTTCAGACTTTTAGCTTCACCAAAGTTGACCTGGGAGACAAGGTGCAAATCTGTTTTCTTTTAACTTGCTTTCAGAAAGCCATATTCAATGATGTTTGTTTTACCTGGGGATGTTTTATAATTTATGTGGATTCCAGTGAGAAGTGATTTTAATCCAGTTGGAATCTGCAGTGTCTGTGATTTTTACAAGCCTGAAATGTGATAATTACAGAATGAGTTACCCTCTGTAATTCGCTGAACTGAAGGAGCTTCCTCAGTAAAAGCAGTTCTATTCCAATCCACATGATGAAAATATGAAAACAGAACCTGCCGATAGACACAGCTGTTACACGTGTTGTCTCATAATGTTGACATGTACATCCAGGCTTTGACATTTCCATTTGGTCTATCTGTGGCAACTTGGGAAAATGGCATAGATGCTTTATCCTGTATGAATCAACCAATCAAATCCCTTACAAATTACACAACAGAACCTCCCCTGGTGAAACTATTCCAGCTCAAATAGTGCTATAGTTTTTGCTTATTATTCTTCAGATTAAGCTTCATTTGAGTTTGCCAGAGTGAATGTGTTTTTTTTTTGTTATTTTTGAAATGCTTTGATACATCTCTAAAGCTGTTTTGGTTCTGCAGGCAGTGAAGGTGGTTGGAGTGAAGGCTCACACTGAGCATGATAAGCGTCAGGTGTTGCTGGATCTTCATATCAGGCAGGTCACACCTTTAACATAGCCGCTTTGTGGCTGGCTTCACAGGTCTCTGAGGAAGCCTGTGTTAGCCTTCACCCTCCTAGTGTTGATAGTATCGTGTGATTGGAGGAGTCCTAACTAGCAAGTGGAATTGGAGACGACTAAATTGGGGAGAAAAAAAAAAACATAGCCACTTTGGCTTATAACTGGAGTTGATTAAGTGCATAGGTGGCAAAAAGCAAAAAGCTTGGCTTCAAATTAGTTTCATTTTTATGATTTGAGAATCTGTTGTTTTGCAGCTATGCTGGAAATGTGGAGATCAATGTGGAAATAAAGAAGTACTTTTGCAAAGCTGGTGTGAAAGGAATACAGGTAAACATCTTGAAAAGAGAGAAAGAATAACATATACACCCACTGAGCACTTTATTAGGAACACATACACTTTATTGGGAACACCTGTACACATACTTATTCATGTAGTAATCTAATCAGCCAGTCGTGTTTCTATGATTTTGACTGTGGCATGATTGTTTGTGCCAGATGAGCTGGTTTGAGTATTTCTATAACTGCAGATCTCCTGGGATTTTCAGACACAACAGTCTATAGAACTTACACAGAATTGGGAAATAAAGAAAAAAACATCCAATGAGCAGCAGTTCTGCAGATGGAAATGTGTTGTAGATGAGAGAAGTCAATGGAGAATGGCCCAACTGGTTCTAGCTGACAAGTGATTACACTTCTGGCGCCACTGTGAGTGGCAGCCTTTCCAGTAGCTCTGTCTTTGTGTACTGTTTTTGGCACTTTTTCCTTACTTTTTACACCCTTACTACTATTGCTATCCTGATGTGTGACTGCTACTGGCTGCTAAATTTCCTTCGGGATCAATAAAGTATCTATCTATCTATCTATCTAAACAGGCTACAGTAGCTCAGATAACCACTCTGTACAGCTGTAGTGAGCAGAAAAGCATCTCAGAATGCATAACACGTCAAACTTTGAGGTGGATGGGCTACAACTGAAGTTCCACTTCAGAGGCATACACAGTCACAGATAATCCAATAGAACACCTTTGGGATGTGGTGGAACAGGAGATACACAGCATGATAGTGCACCTGAAAAATCTGCAGGAATTGAATGATGCAGTCATGCCAACGTGGACCAGAATCTCAAAGCAGTGTTTCCAACATCGTGTAGAATCCATTCCACTAAGAATTGAGGCTATTTTGAGAGCAAAGGGAGACCCTTCCCAGTATTTGTGTAATGTTCCTAATGAAGAGATTGGTGAGTGTATGCTTCAGAAAAAAGGTTTCTCAAATGTCTTTCCTCCCTCCTCAGCTTCATGGAAAGCTGAGGGTGATTCTGGAGCCATTAATTGGAGATGTTCCCCTTATAGGAGCTATCACAATGTTCTTCATCCGAAGACCTGTAAGTGTCCCCAAATGTTCCATTTTTCAAGTTATTTTTGCACATACAGTTTAGTTTTGCAGTCTTGTTTTTGACCATTTATGTTATTGAAGTGGAAAAAGTCAAATGGAAAATCTGACCTGTTAATACAGAGAACTCACTCACTCACTCAGACTCATCTAGCAGGCTAAATATTCTTTTCTTGAATTGCTGTTGATGGTTCATATGAGCAGTGCTACAGATTAAAGACAACATGTGTCCTTGTTGATTTAAAAAAGCAAATCGGAGAAATATACACTACATGATGTATTTCTTGTTTACTCACTGTGGGTAATAGTACTGTAAAAGTTTGGATTTTCATTTCAACACTTTCACTTCCATTGCTTCTGCAGAAGCTGGATATCAACTGGACAGGCCTCACCAACTTACTAGACATTCCAGGTCTGAAGTAAGTGGCTTGTTTGATGTATTTTTCTAGTGCTGCTGAGGTGAATACCATTTAAGCTATTGTTCTTGTGCAGTGTTTTCCCATTTGCATTTCATATAGCAAGAATCAGTGGGACACTGGACTGATTATTCAGATTCTGCTGAGTTTACCTTAATTTTAATAGCTTGGGTAACTCACAGCTAATAATCAAAATATCAGTGTGCCATCAGATCCATATTCTCAGCGGTATCATAACACAACTCATTATATCACATTAATATCATTACATATGAGTTTTCATAATCCACCATACTCTGTAGTGCTGATTGTCTTTGTTGTTGTCATGTCCCATTTTGCTGCATTCAATTACAGTGCCATGTCGGACACTATGGTAATGGATGCTATCGCCTCTTTCCTGGTGCTTCCCAACCGCCTCACTGTCCCTTTGGTGGCTGATCTGCACGTAGCACAGCTGCGCTCCCCTCTACCACGGGTAAAGCAGAGTCTGCACTTCTGCAGTATTCAGCAGCTATGCTACAGTCAGCACCCTTTACTATTAAATATCTATGATAGGGGTCATGAATTCTGTCCAGCAGTGTTTACTGATTTCCCTGTTCAATAAGATCTGTTTTAGCAGTTTATTACCTGAATTGGACCAGAATTGATAATCCATAATCTATGATGTGTTTGTGTTCATGAGTGTCCCATTAACATTGTTGTTTTTTTCAACTCCTTAGAGGAATAGTTCAGTTCAAAAGTCAAATTTACATTACATGAGCCATGACATGGTTGTTGTTGTTCGAAGTTTGTTTCTTTAGTTTTGCACTGGAGCAAATGTAGCGAACAAGTGAAGGAAGCTTCAATATGGGTACTAGTGTTTTTTGGTATATGACATGCTTTTGTCTGTTTTCATAGACTGTAGTCTTGCAATGAAACCGCATAAGCGAATCTTTGAAATTTTTTAACAGTTCCACACAAGTTTAGGCAAGGGTTTGATGGTTTAGCCAGTTGTGCGGTTTACAGAATGCTAAATAGTACAGTAAAACCTTTCATTACTTATTAGCTACCTTAGCTTGTAGCTCCACTGCAAAAATAAAGAAACAAACTTCAGACACTGAATTTGTCTTGGTTTAATGGCAAAATTGTGTGTTATTTTTTTTTATGAACTTAGATTATGTCTTAGACATGAATTTTGTCATGGACTAAGTTACACTGTCCTTCACATTGACATTTTGTAAATTCTCCACTAAAACAGCCCACAAACATTTTAGCCTACAGACTGTCTACTTACAGCTGAATTTTATTCCTTTGCGCAAAGTTTGAAAGCGCAAAACATTTTCTTCTTCGCACTTGGTATGCAAATTGAGCAATGCTGATCTGTGGCATTGATGCAACACTTGTAGTGTTTCCTGTTTATAGATTTTCTAAATTAAATAGACTCCCTTTTTTCTTTAGTCTAAATGATGCACATCATCCTGTTTTGCACAGGGCATAGTCCGTATCCACCTGCTGGAAGCCGAGAACCTGGCTGCTAAGGACAACTTCATTAAAGGTGTGATTGCTGGCAAGTCAGATCCTTATGCAGTGCTGAGGGTGGGCACACAGACCTTCACCTCCCACCATGTGGACAACAACCTCAACCCCCAGTGGAGGGAAATGTATGAGGTACGAGACAGCGAGAGTTGTGAAGTTGTGTCTCAGCGATCAGTTGTGGCTTTGCTAGTGGTTTTGAGTGAGGATGTTGAGTAGAGTGTCGGCAGTATGTTTCTGACCATGCTTTTGAAATATACCACATGCACTGCGAAACACAAGACACAGTCTGCTCTATTGAGCAAAAAACAACAAGATGTTTGCTCTCAAGCCCTAGGGTTGTATAAGTTAGAAGTGTATGGTACTGATTTGTGGGCCCACGTACAGGCCCTTAGGGTTTGAAAGGGTTAAGATGAATGTTTGTTTAAACCCACCAGTCCCTGTTTATATTTTGTGTAATGGGATTAATTATTGATATATAATTGATTTGGTGTAAATATATATTAGTTGTTATGCTGACTTTGCACATTCTTCAGTTTGTTGTTGTTACTGAATGCCATGGCCAAGGTGAGAATAAGAACGTACCATTATAGAGACTAATAAAGTATATACAGATATATAAGCATACCTGTGGTCACAAATGTTATTGCAACCATTGGTAACAGAATGTCACATGTTAGAGGATGTGATCTGTCATGTGCTGTGATCAGATGAGCAGAGTAAGGGTGTGAGATAAGTAGTAGTTAAAAGTTTTTTTTAATATGATGCATTATATTTGCTGCAGTTATTGTGCAACATTATGAATGTTAGAAAAATTCTTGTGTGTGTGTGTGTGTTTGTTAGGTGATTGTTCATGAAGTTCCTGGCCAGGAGCTGGAGGTGGAAGTGTTTGATAAAGACCCTGATCAAGATGATTTCCTAGGAAGGTATTATTGCAGTGTCCATTTTTTAATTATTACTCTTATAACTGACCTCACTTTCTCTAATGCCTCTTTATTCTCCTATCTCTCTGCTTGTCAACTGCCTTTTGTTCTATTTTGCTCTAAGGGTCAAGTTGGACTTGGGCCTTGTAAAGAAAGCAAGAGTCTTGGAAGAGGTTGAAACCATTTTATTCTTTTTCCCTCTCTCTTCGGTCTTTCTGACTGTAATGTCTGTCCCCTGTTGTGCTATGTGTACTGTCATACACCATCCAGTATTCCACCATGTGTGATGCCTTAAATGTTTTTTCATTGATGTGTAATTTAGCATTTGTCTACACTGTTCCTGCATGTTTATATTGTTGTATGCACCTCTGTACCAGAGAGAACAGTAAAGGTGGGCAATATGATGATATTTATTGTTACTGTGATAAATTACATTATTATTACACATTATTGCACAGTGTGCTTATCTGAGCATATCATAGATATTGTCAGTACTTACAAAACACTGATCAAATGCATGTTAAAAAGAGAGCTTGATTAGTCATTTTTAACTGGACTTAATGCTGTGCAGTATGTGAAATATTGAATAAAAAGTAGTGGTGGGTGATATGACAAAAATGCAATACTTAGATATTTTCACAGTAGATGATATTCATCGCAAAATTTGTTTTTCTGAGGTTTGAGAAGTTGGAACAGTTAAAACAGAACCTGTGGTGCCAAATACTATCATAAACTTTGAACTCTTTTTTTACTCAATGTTTCACATACTGCATTGCAATAAATTCAATTAAACAGCATTGTGCTCTTGTTGGAATGAAATGTGTAGTTAGTCTGTTATTTTTTTATATACTGATGATATCCACAGTGTTCTCAGAAAAGTATATTGTGATGCACTTTATCACGATAATGACCCATCTCTAATAAAAATCATTCTATTCATAGTGTTTAATAGTATGTTTTTAGAAGTAGCTCTGCCGGTGCATTCTGCATGTTCCAAATTATCAGGCCTAAATATCGAAAACTTCATGATACACATTGTGAAAAAATGTAAAATATTTTGCTAGTATATTTTTCCACCTCTAGAGAACATTTTTTATGCTGCTCTTTTATGAAATTGAACTGAATTGAAAATTGAATTGAATTCTCTCTTTAAAAAAAGTGCCGTTTGTCAACACTGTCAAAAGTGTTTCCTGTGCTTCTTCTTTCTATCTGAAAAATGCATGTTTCGTTACACCCATACTCAGTGGTTTGGTCTGATATTTTTTTGTTCCACTCTCTTGTCTCTGTGGATTCAGTGGTTCACTCTGCAAGATGCACCATCTGGCAAGGTTCATCTCAGGCTGGAGTGGCTCTCACTGCTGCCCTCTGCGGAGCGCCTTAATGAGGTAACAGAAGTGGTCTAAGACTGATAAACAGTCATAATAATCAGTAAGACTAATAGTCAAATGCACCCAAGTCTTTTTTTTTCACACACAGATCGAATCTCGCTTTACATAAACCACACTGGCACCTATAGCTCACTGACTATATAATTTGCAACAGAAAACTTTGCATATGACTTAACATTGCAAATGAAGGTCACCCTCGATGTACTATGAGATTTAATAACGGTTGATTAATTAATTGATTGATAATTACACTAGCGCTGTCTAAAATAACATTACCAGAGTCCAAAATTAACACCCACCAAGCACCACGTGCATGTATCTGGCCTAACAATAGTATTAGTTTCCAGTATTAAAGCCCTACCACATGGCCTGTCAAGCATTGTCTTAATCCATAGGTGCTCCAGAAGAACCAGAATCTTACTGTGTCCAGTAAAACTCCTGACCCTCCTTCCGCTGCCGTCTTAACAGTGTATCTGGACCGGGCCCAGGATCTACCTGTGAGTTCCACTCTGCTTCCACTCTGCTTGCTGTTTTAATGCAACTGTTTCCTCACATTGTCAAGGAACCAGCTGCGGAAAGCTTTCACTCCGCTGACTTTGCATTGCCACTTCATGTTATATGTGGTATATTGATTCGTGGATGTTCAGTGGGCTGTGTTTTAATGCAGATGAAGAAAGGCAATAAGGACCCCAGCCCTATGGTGCAACTTTCTGTGCAGGATACCACCAAGGAGAGCAGGGTGAGGCTGACTGATATTAAAGACCTTAAACTATGTATGTTTACTATAATTGTTATTGAAACAATTTTATTTCATTTTTAGGCTGTTTGTGGAACCAACAACCCAGTGTGGGAGGATGCCTTTACCTTTTTTATACAAGACCCTCGTAAACAGGACCTTGACATTCAGGTAATTGCTATTTTATTATATATTGTACAAATATACAGTTGTTGTAAACAGCTTTTGGTACAACAGCTAACTTTTTTGTTCACTCTGATGAGGCTGATTAAAATACTGAGCAGAAGTGAAACTGTTTGGAGCATGATAAACAATGATTAATTGCTTTTGCTTGAATGTGCCATGTTGGCAAGTGTAATGATTGTGATCAAACTGTTCACTTAAGTAAAAACATTTCTGACACTTCCGACTCATGTCTTTGTCCCAGGTGAAAGACGATGACCGGTCTCTGACTCTGGGCACTCTGTCCATCCCCCTTTCTCGTCTGCTCTCCAGTGCTGAACTGAGCATGGACCAGTGGTTCCAGCTGGACAGCTCTGGACCTGCCAGTCGTATCTACCTGAATGTTGTACTGAGGGTGAGATTAGTACATCCAATCAAAGACGTACCAGCTGCTAAAATGAATGCTATTAGTGTCTATGATTTATGAGACTGAAGTGGTGACTGTGAGAATAATGAAGGAGAAGGAAGATGTTATTACTTTGTGTGGGTCTTAGGTGCTGTGGCTTAATGAGGAGCCCACCAGCCCAGTGTCTCCAGATCCCTCAGTTCCATTTCCTGGTGAGGGAGAGGATGATGTTATAACAGATGTGACCCATGGAGGATCCAGTGTGTCACCAACCCCCACACGTCCACAGCACACCAGCCCAGATTCCACTTTTGGTGCCGAGGTGAAGTTTTAACATGAATGCAAGAATGAAAGAGTTGTGTATTCAATAAAACTGCCCTACTATAACAGAAAAATCTGATATGTTTATATATGTACAACATAAAGTTTGTTAGTAAAGTGTTGACTACCACAAGCTGCCAGAACAGCTTTAGTAAACCTGTGCATAGGAAATGTACTGTAGGGATAGAACACCATTCTTCTAAAGTCTCCCATAAGTGCTCAATAGCATTGAGATTTGATGACTATAATGGCCATAGAATATGATTTACATCATTCCCATACTTTTCTACCCATTCAGTGACCGTTGTGCCCTGTGGTTTGGCGCATTGTCATCTTGGAAGAGACTACTCCCACCAGGATAGAAAGAATTCATGATAAAATAAAGCTGAACAGTCAGAATAACTTTGTGGGGGGCAAGAGAACCCTTCATGGTCCCCACAACAGACCACCTCACTATAAGAGACAAGCATTCCAGCCTGTACTGTTTTCTCGTGGTGCTTTTCCACTGAGCAGTATGATACAGCACAGTACAGTACAGTACAGTACAGAGTTACAAATCCAAACCTTGGGTTGGGTACCTGTGTCTGTTTCTCATCCCATAAAGGAACAGTGAAAGTTAGTCTTTGGGGTTACATCATTCATCATGCAGATCTAGCGTTAACAGTAAACTCAAACAACAATAGCAACAGTGGATCTTCAGTTTCTGATTTACCTTTTACTCTGCATTTTTATGTGAAGAGTTACAGACATCCGTTCTGGCTAGCTAGCTAGGCCATGAAACTCCAATGAGACCACATTATATTTTGTCAATTCTGTGACAGTCAGTTTGACCAGTCATTGATGTGCACTATTACTGAGCATTTTTGTTTCTGTTGTATTAGGGTGTTCTGCGGATTCACCTGGTGGAGGCCCAGAGTCTTGTTGCTAAGGATAGCTTCATGGGAGGCATGGTGAAGGGCAAGAGCGATCCTTACGTGAAGATCCGAGTGGGGGGGCTGACCTTCAAGAGTCGTGTTATAAAGGAGAACCTCAATCCAGTCTGGAATGAACTTTATGAGGTGTGCTAATGGACACTTTCTTATAAATAAAAAACAAGTTGTGCGGTCAAACAGTCGTACTTCAACCCAGTTATATTCCTTCCTGCATGTTCAGATAGTTTGATCTTGTTAACATAAGTTGGCAAGTTAAAATTTGTTCATGCTTTGCATGTTTGATCAGTGCAGAGAGATATTCGTGAGTTGAGCATGGCTGTGTGTTTACTCTCACTGCAGGTGATCCTTACACAACTCCCAGGCCAAGAGGTGCAGTTTGACCTGTACGATAAAGACATGGATCAGGATGACTTCCTCGGCAGGTGAGACCAAGCAGACTCTGTGTTGGTACTGGGTTCACTTGCAATGTAATTACTTATTTTATTAACTACTGCTACTAATTTCAATCATAATTATGTCTTCATTACAGTAGTTGTTACCACGTATTTAAACTGTACTATCTTCATTGTAGTTTCATAGTAGTAACTGTTATAGAAATGTTTGCTTACTAATTTTGTTTATAGTACCAGCACTTAGCTTGTGCTGTGTGCTTATACTGTGTCTTCTTGGGGACCCCAATATATAGTCCTATGCAAATTTTGGGCGCCCCTGTTCAAATTACATGTTTTGTTAATTTCTAAGTGAAAATTTTTCTAAGTTAACACATTCTCTACAGAGAACACACTTAAGAACACACTTAAATTATGCACAAAATGCAGACAGACTTGTCTGTGGCAATCTTCAGTCTGCTCAGACGTGGAGACGTCTACCTGCGTATTCTCACCACTACACTAGTGATATTCTATTGTTACTATGTATTTTTTGGTAATCACTAGGGATGGCCAGAATATGATGATATTAGGCTTTAAAAAATAAAATTGTGTCATAGCCAGGGAACATAACTAAAGGCTGAACACAGCCACACTCCTCCTGTGATTTTGTAGTGTCACCCCTTTTTCTGTGAAAGAATAAAGCACGATAAGTTAGCGAAAATATGTAAGTGACAGTGTTTAAACAAAGAGAAATAGCCAAATACATATTAATTGACTCTAGATTTGACAGTTAAACAAAACTCTGTCACTTCTTACCCAGCTGGGTAAGAAGAAAGCCATTCGGACACATCTGTCCTCTTATCTGACATGTCACAGCATATGTCTTTTGGCCTCTGCAGCGATCATCGTAAAAACTGATGTGTAAATGTACAAAACTGTTACAAATCATTTGAAATATTTTAATTAAAACTATTCACAACAAATGAACAAACTTTAAATCATGGTTAATTTTGCAATGTAAATATTATTGCCCGTAAGCGTGGTCTTGTATTCAATTACACTGATGTATGTATAGAAACATGAAGTATTTACAGCCTGTAAGATGCTGTTTGGATCTGCCCTAATAGTCAGCAATTTGTTTGCAGACTTAAGCTGAGTCTAAGTGACCTTATCAGCGCTCAGTACACTGATCAAGTAAGTCTCTCAGCTTGATTTGTATTTGTAAATTGACAGTGTCCTCAGAGAGCTTTAATGTAACACATACAGACATGTAATATGTTATCACTATACATCAGTGTTCAAAAGTTTGGAATTGCTCTTCACTGGAATCAGTGTTTTCAATAATATGAAACCATTTTAGCAACTGTATAAATTCATTCTAATATGTTAGTCCTGTGTAGCTTTTCAGTTTTCCAATAATCAATAGGACACTAATAAACTATAAATAAACATTAAAAAATACTATGTATGTCCACAATGATGAACTGTGCCATGCAAGACTCTAAGATGACTGAAAAAGCTTTATAGCATACAGAATTAAGATTTAATGACAGTAATATCCAGAACCCACTGTATTTCATAGGTGGAGCCCAAATCTCAAGGCAGATCACTAGACAAAAAATGATGTAAATAGATTATAACAGCATATTATTTATCATTTTGATTGCTTCTTCACAGAAGTCTTGAAATAGTAAATGAAACATCTAGAAATTTTGGACTATATTTTACGAATCGTTTGTAACATTTAAATGTATATGTATGAGAGTATAATATATTGTATAAGTCATTGTATAATTCTGGCGAGTAATTCCAAACTTTTGAAGAGCATTAGATGTTTTTTTAACGTATGTGTTTTTGCATGTTTGTGAACATGTCTGTGTGTTATAGTGGTACACCCTGAATGATGTAAAATCAGGACGGGTTCATCTGATGATGGAATGGTTGCCAAAAGTGTCTGACCCAGCCAGACTGGAACAGGTGATCCTTTTATTTTTTATTACTTCTTTTTCCCTTTATAAAAAATGCTTTGTCACATTTCTATGAGGCACCCAGCATTAGTACATCTTGATGTCCTAATAAAGTTATCTTACTAATTCCTTTGTGTGGTGTTCAGATTTTACGCTACCAGTCTCAGCAGTCCTATGTGAATAAAGCAGTGCCCTCTGCAGCTGTGCTCTTCATATATGTGGAGCGAGCCCATGGTCTGCCTGTAAGTTAAAAACTCTTGCATTCAGATGATGGATTTCTTTTCTTGTTGCAGTCTTTTGCACGAGTTCTGATGTATTTGAGTTGAATAGACAAACAAATTACATGTTTGTAACTCCTATTGTTTATAGCTGAAGAAGAGTGGGAAGGAGCCAGCTGCTGGAGTCGAGTTGACACTCAAAAATACATCCCACAGGACTAAAGTAAGACTTACAATAAGTGTTTACAGTTTATTTACAGTAAAAGTGTAGATCAGCGCACATTTTGGTTATATGAAGTTTGTTTATACGTAGTCTTAATTTATTGTAAAATGCAGGACTTTGGAAGTAATTACAGTAGTAAGGGATTAATACTGAATACACTGTCCTAAATGTGTTCAATAATGTATTCCATTATAATACATAAAAAAGTAACATTTCGAATATTTAGAATATCTCAGTAAAGTACGTGTGAAAAACTTTTTTTATCTTCATACCATTTCGCTGTTACTTGTCTTCATGTAATTATTCAGTTAATACGTTTCTTAAAAAATGTAACTGAAGTTCCAAAAATTTTTAACTTTTTTCTCTCTCACCGGCTGCTTCAGTCACTGATGCTTCTACAATCCCCTGAGTAAGAATCCAGTACAACACCAAGGCTAAATTTATCATTTGCAAACATGTCCACTATTGATAAAATTATTAGTTTGATCATCACTCTAAAGAGCTCAGTAACACTGAAATTATTAACTGGCTCATCACATTGATTTATCAGTCTACTCAGGCTTTAGTAGGAACATAAGTAGGAAAGTGTTTGTAAAGAAGCCTATAATTTAGGTCCTCTTTAGAATGCTGTGTGCTGATCCTGCAATAGTTCATAAACATGCATTGATGAAGTTTCTTTTGAAGATTGTATGTTTTTTTTTACTTATTTAGTGGGTAAATATTTTAAAAATATTCTAAAAGTAAATCTAAAAAAATCTACAAGTATAAAAGTTTAAAAACTGTTTTCTGAATACTGTCTTTACAAAATGTAACTTGGACTAAATACAGACACTTAATTTCTGCATTCTGAATACGGATTCCTAATACTTTTATTCTGTTGCATCCCAGCCTGGTTTATTACATTCAAAGGCCTGCATTCTTTATGTTTCACGTTCTGTTATAAATACGTATATAAACATAAATATATTTAAATTAAAAGCTACAAAAATAAATGCATTCTTATGTGATCTTTCTGTTCATTTTGATCATATATACAATGTATATTATAATTATAATTATAATTAAATATAACTGTCCTGTGTTGTGTGACTGCTACAGGCTGCTAAATTTCTGTTGGGATCAATAAAGTATCTATCTATCTAGCTATCTATCTATCTATCCATCCATCCATCCATCCATCTATATGTAACCTATAGTGTTTTTTTTTCCCTTAGAAATGTAGGTCACGTTTTACTTTGATAGTCCCTTAAACTGTGTTTTTCATACCGGGTCCTAGAGACCCAGTGCCTTGCACTGTTTAGTATTTTCCTTGCTCCCGACACACCCGATCCAACTAATCAGCTCATTTTTGAGTTAAAGTGGCTGTGTTCAAGCAGGAAAAGCAGTAAAATGTGCAGAACAGTGGGCATCCAGGACCAAGGCTGAGAAACACTGCTTTACAGATTATATACAGATGCCCAAATTGGTAACAAACTATCTGGTGAAACTTAGGTTAGGATTAGGGTAAGGATTAGGTTTAGGTTTTGGATTGAAGTCAGGGTTAAGGATAGATTCAGATTTAGTATGATCTATTAAGCTCGATTTAGAGGTTGCATTTAACAGATATTTAGCTGAATGTTGAAGACAAAGTGAGTATCTACAAAGCCTCTACAGTGGATTTTCGTTATAAAATATTACTGAATTATATAGAACTGTTGATTATTTATTACCACCTGTCCCACCCTAGTAGTTATTAAATAAGATTAATAAACTGTCTGATAAGACTACAGTTTAAAGTGTGGTGGGATATTAACACATTTTTTTTGGAAGGGATAACGTATCTTGGGCTTTAACTCCACTTATTATGAACAAAGCTTTTACCCCTGATTTGCAAAACAGTGTTTTTCATCAGTGGCACAAAGTAGGTATTTGATCTTTATCTGATCTGTATCAGAGCAATATATTAATGTCATTTCAACGACTACAAGAAAAATTCAGTTTGCCATCGAAACACTTTTTTGGATACCTTCAAATTAGAGACTATATACAGAATGCTATAAAACTCCCTGTAAGTCAAGACATATGCACCCCCATAGATTCCTTTTTGAAACAGGCTACATGTCTCAAAAATGTTTTATCTTTATTTTATACTATATTACTTTCAAACTTGCCAAGCAGTCTGCAGACAGTGCTATCAGGCTGGGAAAGGGGTTTTGGAAACCACAAATAGATAAAGATGCATCAGAAATTATAAGGAATGTACTAGTCTGCAATAAAACCTTAGAAACACAGTTTAAGATATTGTGTCGTTTACACTGCACACCTTATATTCTAAATAAAATTGACCCACTAAAATCATCAGTCTGCCCAAAATGCGAAAAAGAGGTGGGTACATACTCACATATGTTTTGGTCCTGTCCCATCATTATCTCCTTCTGGAATAGGATCAAATTAAAGCTTGAAAGGATATTCAGTTGCGTCATAGAGAGCAACCCCTGGTTTTTTTGTACTAGGTATGGTTAAGGATGAGGTTAAACTTCCATCTTGTTAAATCCAGCTCACTTACAAATTATTGTTCATTGCTCGTAAGTGTATCTTAATTAAGTGGCTAGATGACAAACCACCCACAATTAACCTTTGGCATAATGAAATTATGAACATTTTTCCCTTTGAGCGCCTATATGCTAGAATTAAAGGTAATGATACAGAAGTTGAGCGCACTTGGTCTCCCTTCCTTTCCAGTCTTCCACGTCATATATGTGAAATTGTTGAATGTGCTCAGGTTTGGCTGAGATGTTGTACTTGACAATGTTGTTAAGGCGGATGGCTAAGTTTATTTGTATGTGTTTGTTTTTGAATGGAATGTCTAGAATGTCCACCATTATGTCTAGCAAGCTGTCTCTTGTTGTTAGTGGGATGGGGTAGGGGGGTAGCTCTGTAGTTTCTTACCCTCCTCTGTTTTTTTGTTTTTTTTTTCTTTCCTCTTTACTTTCTATGATTGAAAATGAAATTATTGGGAAAAAGAAATCGTTATTGGAAAAAAAATGACTACAGTATAAAGAATTAAATGCAGTGCATGATTAAAGGTGCAATATAATAAGTTGATTTGTTATTATTACCAGTATATTATCTATTATATTATATATTATCAGTATCATTCATTATTTGAACTGAAACACTAATGAATAGAGTTGTACCTGATTATTTTATTCCTACAGCTTGCCAATCGTTCTACATCTCCATGCTGGGATGAAGCATTCTGCTTCTTGGTGCATGACCCCAAAGAAGACATAGTCACTGTAAAGGTGAGAATCTATACATTACAAAACATCAGTTTGACTGTGTAACATTGCAGCACAGCTTTTGTTGTAAAATAATTACAAGCAAATTGTTCTTTGCCCATAGCAATGCTGTATCTGTAATCATAACCTTTTTCACTGTCATATGAGTTATGACGCATTGGTTGTGTGTGTGTGTGTGTGTGTGTGTGTAGCTCTCTCATGGCTGGGGTCAGCCTCTGGGTGCGCTGGTGCTGCCTGTGAAAGAAATACTTGCAGAGCAAGCCTTAGTGCTGGATCGCTGGCTCACTCTAGATGGAGCTTTGCCTGAGAGTCAAATGCTAATCAGGGCTGAATTAAAGGTAACAGGACAGCTCACACGTACCCTGCTGTATAGAAGTACACTCACTTCAAAGCTAAACTGCTCACAAAGGGCCTAATGTGCTAAGCCTTTTGCAGAAGTTTCAGGAGCAAATTGGACGTGTTCTGGCTACATGTTATGTATAAAACTACCGCACAAGCCTACATGTGCAGTTTATCAACTGTGTGCATGGTAAAACATGAAATGTGTGTGTATTCAATTGAGGGGGGCCACACAAAATGTAGGAGTATTGCACAAAATGTGGGTGAACATATTACACATTCCACACAATCCACTTTGATTTACTAAGGTGCGAGCAAATAGTGGTGGGCAGATCTGCATCAAATGGTGTTTTTGTGGTGAAAGAACTTTATTTTTTAACACAGCAATCTTTTCATTACTGATAAGGTGCAGTCTTCGTAAATCCAACATTAATTTCAGATACATTGAGCGCATATGTTGCGGTCAAATCAAAGCACATTTTGCACTACTTTTACTTTTATCTCTCATCTTCTATCTGTGGTTCAGCTTTTGGACTCTAAGTTGGCACAGTGTGCTGATGGAAGTAATGGCACTGAAGAGGTGGAGCATATCATTCCAACGGCAGAGACGGTACCGGCAACAAATCAGGAGCTCAGACACAGGACAGTCCAGGGGTGGGTCAAATAGACAATTTCTTGAAAATAGTGGTTGATTTTCAGTGAAAAATGAGGTCTGTCAAATAAATGAGATGCCAGTTTACTGACACTTTTGTATATGCGTGTTGTGTGTGTTTTTGTATATGTAGGGGTGGAGATGCAGGAGACAGTGGGCGGGGTCAGGTGAAACTCACCATTGCTTACTCTACTGAGGAGAACAGACTGGTCATCATTATCCATGCTTGCAGGTCTGTTTAAAACACATACATGTAATACATATATTTATAATAATACTGTTATCATACAGCTTATATGTAATGTAGTGTACATGTGACCAAAAAGCCCTCAGTACTCCAACAAAAGCGCAATTGTATTGCACTTGTTTTTTACTCTTGGAGCTTTCCAAAGTAGAAATGGATTTGATTTGAAACCAACTGTTCCATTCTTCAGCAACTGAGTTCAGGAACAAGATCATGCTTGTCATAAGACTATGCAATGTTATGCTATAGCTATTCAAATAATAGAGTTTACTGCTTTCAAGTATCAGTTGAAAAATATTAAAAGAATTTGAACCACTTTTTAAAGGATATATTTTAACTTTTGAAAAAATAAGGTTTTTTTGGGACTGTCTCGTCTTACAACACCTGGCATGTGCTTCTCTGCCATTAATGCATTATGAAAAATGCTTTAAGCCAAAACCTTTTTTGCAAAACTATCATAAAACAGCATCCTGTTTAACTCATACTACCTCTGCGTGGCATTAGTGACATGGAACATCTTGCTTTTCATTTTGGCACTTATATTAACGTGCTTTGTGAGTATCATGGCAGAGCGTCCCACTGAAGCAGCGAGATATTTTGAGAATAGACATTTTTTCTGTGTGCTACAAAATACACTGAAATAAGTTATGAAAATTGATGAATATTAGTAAAAAATTTAAAAATTGCAAATTCTTTAGTTTATGGCTATTATCAAACAAAATACTAGTTAAACATTTCCTGCTGCATTTACAGATTTCATGGTAGGTCTGCTAGACTTGAAGTGATGTCCCAATCACAAGTGTGTCGAGAGTAAACAAATGTGCTGTGCTCTTGTATGAATTATATTTTTATTGAACAAAGTGACTGATTTGACTATTTATCTATCTGTAGAACTTTCTTGCTGCACCGCTCTGCAGCATTACTGCTGTATGTGTGAATGGCCAGCACATGCAAACTGTAGAAGTCTAGAAGGCTACCGCATCGCTAATGTCATGCAGAGGTAGTATGTGTGAAACAGGCGCCAGACATAAAACAGCATATTTGTACCCATTTTGTGTAGTTACTTTCTGTGTGGTAGCCTTTAGAAGCATCTAACACTATAACGGTATAAAACTAGAGTGCATTAGCATCAGTGGCTCTCCAGCCTAACTTGGCTAGATTACACTAGTCAGTAATACCTGTGGCTGACTTGCATAAATGGGAGAACAAAAAGACCATTCTGTTGCAGACTGAGAGGAACAAGGTTGATTCTGGAGTAGTTCAGTGTCCTCTGACTCTGAATTGGATTCTGGGTCTGGTGGCTTAAACATGTATGGCTGTACAGGTCCAATAAAGCTGCTAGACAGAGTGAATTCTGTGTTTGTGTAAGCTGAAGCACTGCTATTTGCTTCATTTCAATCCTAGAGAGGCTAACAAATATGTTAACATTAGTACAAAGCTGTCTGTTCACCAGCTTTGTTCAAATTGTCCTGTTCCACCTTAAATGGTGCAGCAGTTACATTCCGGTGAATACAAAGAGAATCTGAAGAGAGGCTGAACTTTTCCTGCGATTGAGCATGGTTTTAGCGTTTTCAGTGGACACGCTCCCAGTGTTTCAGAGCAGAGAATACTGTTCTTTTTTCATGATTTTAAAACCTATTTTTATATACTTGGTAAGTTTACATTCTATCACTATCGCTGTGAACAATTCATCCATCCACATTCTGACAGATCTGTTACAAAAGCACTTCAGGTGGGAACAGAAGGTTTAAAATCTGAAGGCACAAACCTTGGATCAGCTTATTGTGACAAAACCACAATAGCAAGTTTTGCACGACCCACTGCTGCTCTTTTGTCCCTGGCTTAATAACTCATTGTGTATTGGAGGTTTGAAACAAGGTTATGTCTAAAGAATTTACATTGTACTGCACAGTCCCTATTCTAGACATCGGGAGAAAGTACATGCATTTAAAGAAATCTAGCTCTGCTAGATGATGTGATAACAGTTTGTGTTTTTGCCTCTGTTCTGCTGTAGGAATCTGCAGCCTTGCTCCAAGGATGGATCAGATCCCTACATCTCCTTCCTTCTCCAGCCTGACAAGAACAGAAGCACCAAAAAAAAAACCAGCATCAAGAAGCGAGACCTCAATCCTGAGTTCAATGAAAGGTGAATGAAAGACAGTTTCCATAGCAGTACAGATGAATCACTTGGTCTCATGGTTGAGCTTTTACACTATTAATTCTATATCTTGTATCTTCTCTTGTAGGTTTGATTTTGACTTGTCCCTGGAGGAGGCCACACAGAGACGCCTTGACCTGTCCGTGAAAAACAGTGTTTCCTTCATGAGCCGTGAAAGAGAGCTCATTGGCAAGGTATTGTAAAGATGTCACATTTACTGCACATGCTGAGATAGTCATTGGGGATAGATGACCTATAAATTTCAACTGATGTTTTAAATGTCACGTGAAACTTTTTTTGCTAAAATAAAAGAAGTAGCTTTACCAAGTAAGTAGAAGAAAAGTACACCAAAATATGGTATCCTTGCATGCTTTGAGTCACTCTGTAAAGCCAGAAATATTAAAATTCAGAGTGTCAGGTCAGTTCTGGCAGGAGTAGCAAATAGTGCTATTATGCATTGTAGTGATGACAGCACAGTGCTCCACTTTCACCCTGCACATTAATGGTTTAGTGCCAATGCTGTACCAATAACAGCACTTAGGCTAGACTAAGTCCTAATGCTACTTTCTGTTATTACTCTTAAGTTGCTTGTTGAAAATGGTAAGTGTGAATAGTTCAAAAGAGTCAGAATAATTAGCATGGAGCTATTTCAATGCAACTGGTGTTACAAAACTGTTCTTTCACAATTTGATTGCAGTCACATGTTCACCAGAGAGGGCTTCATGTCCCCAAATGTGTGTAGTGCCACTTTAAATAATTTAATAGTAAAAAAGACCCTTGGAACTACAAAAACACACAACTATGAATCTCTTTCCTGAACTACTGAATGGCTCTGTGTGGATGTTCTAAGCTTGTGATTTGTGCTGTGTTCCAGCTTCATTTAGATCTGAATCAGCTGGACCTCAAGGCAAGCGTCTCACAGTGGTAAGCTTTTTAGATTCACCCCTGCTCCACGTAACATGCTATTTTAGTCATTTCTTAACATCAGTCGCACTTTACATTAATCAAACCTGGCCTAGCTTACTGACCAAAGGACAATCATATGTCTTTACCTGTCTTTTTATTAATCCTTTTTCAGGTACGACTTAACAGAAGAGACCAGCTGATCTGGCCTATGTATGTTTACGCAACGAGGCCTTCTAATTTACTCCCCAGGCTGCACAGCTGCATCTGCATGGCGCAAGTGTCACATTACCTTTATAGCTTAGTGCAGTGGGACCAGTGATTGTGAAAATGTTACGTTTGTGATTTCAGTTCTATAGTTTCTGTAGTTTTATCTCCAACGATGCCAAATGCATTTGAGACGGTCTTAATGTTACAATCGGTGCACGTCAGCCGAATTTTTGCAAATTTGCACTAAAACGGCATAAATACGTTTGTTAAGGGAACAATCAAAACATTGTCACGAGTCTCCTTGGGGGGAAAAAGCACTTAAGAATGCCTGATGCCTGCTAAAAAGACTGAAACTCTGTTCCTTTATGCTGGTCTTAAATTATAAGAGTGTTCTTTGACAAGGTTTTATTATTTTCTCATCAAATGCTCAAATGCTCATTACATGTAATGTTTTTGTGTGTTCCAACATTTCTCCTCTTTTCACGTTATATTGTAAAACATCAGTTTTAACAGTTTTTTTCCTTCCTTTTTATTTTTCTTTATACTTTCAATTCCATGTAAGAGCTTTATACTAAGGAAAAAAAAAACGGGTGGTTCTTTAAAGAAGAATTTTATTTATTTAAAGGACTTATTACTGTTTCTTTATGGGTAGATTTCTGCACACTGTAGCTTTAAGAGAATCTACAAGAAATATTCAGATCATACAGTCATTCCATAATCTGAGCACTGCAGCTAGACCTGTTTGCTAAGAATAATTATCTTACTTTGATTGATTTTTTTGTGGGGTTTTTTTTTTTGCCTGATGCACATTTGCCTACAGTCTGGGAAACTGCTGTCCACTGTGTATTGAGTTCTGGTTGAAGGAGTTAATTCACTTTTCTTTATATCAGACATGCTGAAGGTCGCCTTAAGGCCGTGTTTTACAGTATTTATACCAAGTTTATTGTAAAACCATTGCTTTGCTGTTATATTAGTAAATTAGTAGTTTTACAATGCCTTGTTTCAGTTTCAGAAGGCTTTAACATATCAAAAAAGGTCAATCACTGTGCTTTTGTATCCATTCCAAGCAAATGAGTTTGTGGTTGTTTATGAGGACTGACTCTGATGGATATTTCAGCATGGATATTATCGTCAAAGTGCCAATGGTCCGAGACCAATTCAGCAGCTGGAGTTTGAGATCTGTTACAAAGAAAATTGTTAGAAAGAAATCGTCTTAATTAAACATTTCTGAGAAGGTAACTTGTGGAGAGGAATCAGGATGCTAATCTGTTGATGCCGTTGCTGGAAGTGTGTAATGCAGCTGTTTTATTAAAGAAGCTTTTTGCACTTTAAAATGATGCTTTTTTTTCAGTTGTGGTCTTAAGCACTTCCTTGTGTTTCCCTGGTTGTGGTACCATAGATGTCACTGAATGCCACTAAACTAATACAGATCAAATAGGAGCACTATGGCAGTTAACAACCTGTCTGCACTGGTTTATTTTCATGTACACTCAGAATCTGTCCAAAGCGCCATGAATTTCTCTTTTTACTTTGGTTTGAGGAACAAGGGGAAGACACCAGCGATGAAGTCCACCTGCACTGCACAATTCAGTAATATCCTGCTGTAATTCACAGAGTTTAGCTTAAGAAAATGCTTAACGTGCACACAAAATTTGTAACTGTGCAAGAGTAGATAGCGCTGGCAAACTATTGATGAGAAACACTGAGAAATTAACTTAAATGTCACATAGTGACAGAGACTAATGTAACAAAAAGCCATTAAAATGCACATAATTACGATTTAGTTATTAAAATCCACAGCTTTTTCCATAGTTTCTCTTACAGTGTGGACTACTACTACAATAGAGAGAAGAGAAACGACCCTGCAAGGACAAATGTCGGTCCAGTGTGGGCTAAAACTTGGGCCCACCACGGGCTGTCCATAGTGGGGGCCCGTCAGTCGTGAAACCAGCAGCCTACCCCAAGCTCTCATATGAGGGTTTTGTGTGGGCTGCCACCATAGGGGCCCTATCATTGGGAGCTGTTGGACTGAGGACCTCAGAATACTGTGGACCTATAACAAAAACAAATGGAGTAAAATTACTTTTTTTCCATTTTTTGTGTAGCTAACTACTGAATCTACAATTTTGGGCCATAAAAAGCTGACATTTCTTCTGTGTAATATCGAGTATTCTTATGATGAGTGTTGATATCTAGACACGAAACTGTGGTCACTTGATTTTGTATGCATTGATCAGTAATGCTGGCACTGGTTCGGTTGTTTTCCTGCACCACCTCATTGAAGAAAGGCACATCTTCAGTTTAGGCACTTGCGTATAACACGATTCCCAAATGTTTCATATCACAATGCTCCGTTATCTGCGTTGCTATTTTACAAAACCACTACAGCAACCTCAGCAGTTGTAAACTCTTTACATACCATTTCCCAGGTGTGTCCGATCTTGACTGAATGAAAAATGAATGCTTTTTGGTGTTTATGGTAATTCTTTAGTGATTTCCTGAGTGTCCTTTGGTCAGTTTCAGAAAAAAAACGTGAACGTCCACATAAATCCACCAATTACACAGGGCGAGGGGTAGATGACGTGTATCTCGGCCTCTCTTCATAGCATCATAACTCCGTTTGAGTAACGTTTGAACTCTATTTCTGCGCCGTATTATTGCAAAGATAGAGAAACATACATAGAAACATTACATTTGAGTTGTGATTTTGGTTAAAGTTAAAACTGAAGATTCCCTGAACATGAAATTTGGCATAGAACACCAAATGACTGTGGTCATGACTGAGCAGGGTCGCCAGATTTTAGCACACAGTTGATTAGCATGGACAATTATTTAATTACATAAAACGAAGAGAAAAGAAGACTTTTGTTACGGTGAGCTGCGTTTTTTGTGCCCCGATAACGCATCTCTTTGGATAAAAATAACGAGTGACGTCTAATGTTAGCGGCAAACAGGCTGAACCACTGCTGGGAGAAAAATCCAGTCTGGGTCAAAGTTAGCCAGTTAGTTAGCGAGCTTCCTTAGTTATCGGGCTGGTGTGGAAGTGTTGGAGAGGTAAACAAACTCACATTAACATTAGATTAGAGTTTGTCAGGGACTTTAACTACAGCGTCTCTTTTCTTCCGCTAGCTAAAATGGTTGGATGTGTAGCTAAGTTAATCCTTTCTATAAACATAAGTTAACCTTTTTATTATTTATTTTGAAGGGCCCTTTTACACTAGCGAAACATGGTTGGGGTAAGTTAACTTAGTAACTTAGTAACCATAGTCCTAACCTTAACCATTTTATTTTAAAGAAGTAATTCATGTTAGTGTTAGCAAGATAACGTGACTGGGAAACTGACCTTAACACTATGGCAAGCCGTTTTAGCCTACAATGACACCGGCGATGCAGGTCATAACTCTTGTTTTTACTAGTAAAAACATAATTTTGACTAGTCAAAATATAATTCTGACTAATAATAATAAGAGTTACAGATATTTGTAGTTTAATTTTAACTTGTTAAATTTATATTTTCGCTTATAAAAATTCAATTACAGATCTCTTTGATGTAATTACAGATATCAACATATATCTTATTACTAGTACCAATAAATATTAGAGATCTCCATTCTTAAAAAAAAAACACTCAACACTCAAAAATTACACATTAGAAAAACACATTAAATTTCAGATATCTAAAACTGACTTCTTACTTAACAAGAAAGCCAAAGGATCTCCTGTGTCCTGCTAAATGGAGGTAAATGTTGGCGAGAGATTTGCTTCATCCACCAGACAAGTGCATTGTGCAAATGTCAAAGTTACTGAGTGCAAAGATAGGCCGCTGCGTGTGGGATAACAGGGCTGTAAGACAGCAAACTTAATGGTAGTAACCTACCATACACCAGGTGACTTTTATTTTGACATATAGTCTAAGGAACTGAACTGAGAATGTGACAGAGAAAAGAGGCGTGCTGTCTTTTGCAAATTAGCATTTGTTGAATATTAGCTCTGAGTAGTGAGAAGTCAGTTTTAGATGTCTGAAATAGATATTTCAGAATTTCTGAAAAGATATCTTGAATAAATATTTCCACTAGTCAAAATTAAAGTGTTAAATTTATGGCAATCTGTTTTAAATGTAATTATAGATAAGACAGAATGAAATTCCATGTAAATCAATGGCAACATATGAGTAGTCAAAATTATAGATATGTCATGACTAGTCAAAATAGCTTTATAGATTTGTATACTTCATATTATGAGTAGTAAAAATTACATAGTAGACATCTGGAATCATAGTTTTTACTAATAGAAACTGCATTACAGATTTCTCGAATTTTTCTTTTAAAAATGGAGTTATGACTGGTGTCATTTTAGGCTAAAACTTGCTGCCATATACCACAGCCATACCCTCGTTTAATTCACCTCACTTACACTTTAGCTAACTAGCTCAGGTTCTTACTCCTACAGTGTAACCTAAACCCATACTCAAGTAAAAGTATTGTCATGTTGGTGAGGATACCTCAAGTAAAAGTACAGGTAAAAAAAATAAACTACAAAAACTGGAGAAACATCACGCTTCACATTTCACACAGCTCCACTGCTGGTTCACATTTATGCGGATCCTTGCTGGTGACTCTATAAATAAAAATAATGCGTGGCCACGTAATATTAACATGTGGAAATGAGATCCTAATGCATGGCCACGACTTAGTAAGGTGTGGGAATGAGATAATTAAGTCATGGCCATGACTCAGTAAGGTGTGGGAACGAGATCATGCCTTATTAAGCTATGGTCAAGGTTTACTATCTCATTCCCACGCCTTACTAAGTCATGGCCAAACATTAGGATCTCGTTCCCATGCCTTACTAAGTTGTGACCATGACTTAATTATCTCATTCCTATGCCTTACTAAGTCGTGCCCACACATTATTTTTATTTATATGGGATGTCACCAGCAGGGCTCCATAATTTACAAAGAGCTTAATGTCCAATTCTTGAACAAATCGTCCTTTTGAACCGATCCTTTCCAGTTAATTGGTTGATAATAATTGGTTAATAATATATTACTATATAAAATAACAACAGACACAAGAGATTATTTTATGGAAATATGTTTGCTGTCTCTGTAGCTTTTACCCCAGCGGTCCCTTGCCCAAAGTAGCTAACGTCAAGCTCTGGTTCAACATCAAGCTTAGGCAAACTAGCTAGAATTTTAAAAGCTGCATCACTTTATAAATTAAAAGTTTATAAAGTTTTTAAAAAGCTATAACTTTATGGTAAACCGTATGCTATTTATAAAAAAAAATCCTATGATTAAATAATATTTTTCAATCTGCTTCATCTGTGACATTCCAGTAAGCAGTGTAGGTACCCATGTGGGTGATTTCAGCCAGTGGATCTATGACGGCAGGCCGACCAGCTTGGTAGGGTGGACCTCCACAGGTCAGACACTTTGAAAAACTGTCAGACACTTTGAAAAACTGTATAAAGATTGTGCAATTTCAAATCTTATATTCATGTTGGATTTTCCAATAATCAATCTGAATAAAACAGATGTTAGTATGTGCCGTGTTTGTGTTGGTGTATGTTGGAAATTGTTTTATTTTTGGTCTTAAAAAGGTATTAAAAAGTGGATTTTATAAATTGTGCAGCACTCCTGTATAGTCTTAGAAAATGCCCTGTTACTTCAATGAAAAAATGACAGTAAAGGAAAAAAAAAAGAGTAGGAGCAAAAAAGTGAGCTCAAAAACTCCATACTGGGTTTCCTGTAGAACTGCAGTGGAACATCTTAGTACATCCAGCATTTATCTACGTAGGATCTGAATTCTGTTAGGTGTTGTTTGTCTGTTTTTGGGATCCTTTTGGTATAAAATAAAATAGTAAAGCTTGTACATGAAAAAAAGAACAACAAGAATGCAGTCCAGGTGTTTTCATTGGCAGAACATAGTGAAATTAAACACAGAAACAGATTTCCCCCCCTAAAGTTAAGTAGCTGCTATGTAATATCATTTAAGACTTTTCCGTTAGTAATTTCATGCTTCAGCAATGCAAAAATATTGATATTTCACTATGCATTAGAAATGTGATACTCAAGAATTTGAGTCCAGTGTGCAGTGTGCCCCATTCTTTTTCTCCATGAACGACTCCATGCCTTCTGTAGGGGCTCATTTTATTTTTTTTTAAAAAAAGCATTAATAATAATCCAGAGAACAGTGGAGAGTTTTGAAACGTAAAGCCTTAGGCCTGTTAGTCAGTTGTGATAGTTGTAGTAGTAGTGCTATCAACACATTTAGGTACAACAGGTTACCTTCCTGTCAGTCTAGACAGTTTTACAGAGCAACAAGACAACTTTAATCTGATTGTGCTGCTTCTGTAATAACATCTCTCACATCAGAGCTTTAGCATTTTAGGAGAGTGCCTAACAAACTTCACTTCCTATGCTGAATGTACTAACACTTCAGCTGCAGTTCTGTGCTACTTTTTCTTATACTTGAGTCATTATTGGATTGAAATAACAATAGTTTTCACCAGAAGATGGTTTTAGGCTACTTTATCCACCTCTTTTTAAAGAAGCTACAAAAGTCCAACGGCTCCGCAAGGAAGCAAATCTGAGATCCCTGTAGTTGCAGGGACTTGCCAGCAGATGGCGCAGATGGTAATGCCTACATAATCTCAGCAAAAGAGAAGCTTCCATGGCTGCGTCCAAACTTACTTTTATGTCTACTTTCCTTGATTTTGCCTGATATGTAGCCCATGGGCTCACTAAATTGGCTGTCAGGGCTAAACAACATGTGTCCCTACATGACTACAAGATCAGGTAAAACGAAGGGAAGCAGATGGGAAAGGAAATGTCATTCAACTCTTCGTAGCCCGAATGTTTAGACTGAGCGGCGACGCCTTCTCGATAGGCAGGACTCGGCTCAGAATGGGTGGGCCGAGCGCTCAGTCTGTTTTCAGAGGGGATGCGAAATGTACACTTCTAATCGGGACCTTGCAGCGCAAATGAATGGAGACGAGAAACAGTTAGGAAAGTTTACGAAAGATCAGAAAAGGCTGTTTAGAGACAGTAAAAGCAGCATTAATACAACCCGCGCTGAGTGCTTGAGATGGATTGGCCAGGTAACTCTAGACAGTCCTCAGGAAAAAGAAACGCATCTATACGAGACGGAGTTTTGGAGCAGCAGATGCTGTAGAGGACTTTCCCAGATCTACTCAAGTTTGGAATAATCGGCGAACAGGAACGTTTTCTTTTTCATGACACCACTCGCAGGACACTGAACAGCGCTGGAATGTGGAAATTCAGCTGAACTGGATTTATTTGAGATTTCAAAAAGGAAAAATCTGAAAAAAGTGAACGAGCATCTCAACATTTGCCTGTGGATACTATAACAGAACTCCAACATGGGGAATATAGAAAGTGTGGACGGACATTGTGAGATGAAGCATCACTTAATGCCTTTAAAAGTCCCGATGCCTGATCCAGCTGAGCTTGAAGAACGGTTTGCTATAGTTTTGGTGAGTATGATGGAAAATAGACTCCATATCATTCTTTTATAACTCATCGGTTTTCTTTTTTAATACTTAGGGTATAGTTTCCATAAAAACAGATCCTGAAGATATCTCTGCTGAACAAAAAAACTTCACATAGAGTCTGTGCTGGTATATGCTGGTCTGGTGCTGGTATATGCTGGTCTGGTGCTGGTTTAGCTGGTCACCCAGCATGATCATGATGGTTGACCAGCATCCAACATACAGTATGCTACTTTTGCTGGTGATCAGCTATGGTTTTTCTAACAGGGATGGTATCGTCTTTCTTTATATAGTAGCCTCATGTCTTTTCAAACTGACTTTTACAGCTTAAAATGTAACAAAAAGCCAAAGGGTGACAGAAATCCTCTGTTGTGTTGAAGACACTTCGTCACATGGTCTTAAATGTCAGTGGCATCATCAGTTGCCCCGCTTTACCACCACTTTTCCCCATCGTAAATAACTGCCCAACACCACGCTGAGGCTGGCTGAGCTCACTGTCTCCCTCTAGCGGCTGTCATGGTTCAAATAAAATCTCTAAATCACTTTGACTCTATCAAAAAGTCACTTTAGACGTATAACACAAGCGATCATTTTTTTCTCCAAAGACAAAAATTTAGTCTTGCATGTTCTAACACACTAAACCGCCGCTGGAAATTTTAAAGTCGTTACAACATTTCAGTATTTTCCCCACTGTCTGTCACGCAGAGAGCAACATTTTCTGAATTCCCCTAAAACTCCTACGCAGGAGAGACTCGCCATGTCTCTATGTGGGTATCGAGCGCAGACAGTTGTAGACATCATAAAGTGTTCTAGCAGAACCCAGCAGAGAACACAACTTCACGACTGAAGACAAGCCTGCATTTTGATGTAACATGATGCGCAAGTGTTGACTACACAACGCATCTGGAAGCTATCAAGCTCACATTTAGCATCACAGACGCGGGCTTTATTGTTGCGAATGAGCTGGGACTGTGCTTCTGTCCTGAGGCATGTCAAATAAGTTTTTGAAGCTCCTTTTCTTTCCAGCTGACACAGATTGTAGTTTATTGTAGTCTATTTCTCTCACAGAAAGTCTCAATGTGTTGCTGTGGCCTCAGTAGGGTCTCCTCCCTTTTTAATCAGTTGAAAAGTGACACTCATTTAATGGCCTCTGCACTTCTTTATAGTTGTGAAGCATTGAAGTGTCATCACATTAAAGGTGATTGTGCCACATTTGTACAAGATATTCTCCTGAAAGATGGTGTTTTGGAAGGTTTTTTGCGACACCAGCTGCCTTTATTGCGTTCTACTGACAGTCTGTCAATCAGCTTCTGCACTTGATTGTCCTCCCTCAGTTGTGGTGGACTGTGGTTGGAAAGACTGACCAGTTCGCTGTGGAATGGAGAGACAGCTCGAGAGGCTTTTCCACAGTCCACCCTTTTTAGGGTTCCTCTCAGAGCTTCAGATTTGTGGGAAAGAATAACAGACGCTCTTATCGGTCACTAGCATGTGCCGGACACTGCCCTGCGTCTTGTTTGGAGATAGAAACACTTAAAAGTGATTCTCATAGGATGATTCCTGTGCTCAGGAAAACAGGCTGGGGCTCCTGGATCTTGATTACACTTCAGAGTGTGCTGTTAGTGTCTGAGGGTTACTCGTGACTAGGGCGGGGTATCCTTCAAACATTGTCGGTACCGATATCTTGACTTTGATAACGGTTCCTGAACGATACTTTTTTCCTTTTAATTGTCAGCTGAAAGTGACCATGGCTTGACCTACAAATGCATGTGAGGTTCTGGAAGTGGCTGTGTTTACTGGCCTCAACAGATGACAGACTAATGAAGAAGTGCTGCCATTAATACCGTGAATATGGAATGTTATTTAGACAGCAAATCAGCAGTCTAGATTTTGGAACAAGCATGCTCATTGGCTTACTAACACTGTTAATACTGACTAGTTAGGTATTGAAATTTGATATTAAGCGATGTGGAATATTTTGATGCTTGGTAGTGTTGAATTAAATTGGTCAAGTAAAAGGAGTCAAAAATGTACCCAGAGCGACTATTCCCAAATTTTTTTATTTTGAAATATTTCTTAATTTTTTTTTGTTTTCTCTTGAGCCAAACCGTTTTACATGTAGTACCTAATTAGAGCTCTGTAGAATCAAGACATTTTTAACACATACAATAACATAAATTAGATCAGATCTTAACCTCAGAATGGGAAATTGCATCAGACCTGAAAATGTGTAGTTACAGTCCTGCTCAATAGCTTTGTCCACAATAACATATTTTAGTTATATTGCTACATGTTGTGCTCATAACACATGCATTAATATAGTAATAATTACATATGGTATGCAGCTACAAGTGAGCAATACGGCAAAAATATAATATCACAATACTGCAAGACATTTTCACAGTGCACAAGATGCTGCGATATTTGTTTTTTGGAACAGACAAAAAAGAACAAGTAATGTCAAATTGAAACAATGCCATCAAAAGCTATGAATACAAAGAGTTGTATACAACTTTTCACATGCTGCACTGTACTGAATCCAGTTAATCAGGACTAATTCCACTCTTGTAATGAAACATGCAGCTGATCAGTGCTCTTATGGACTGACAGTGTCCACAACATGGTCAGGAAAGTATATTGTGATGTAATTTATCACGACATCAAAAAACGTCATATTTCCCACATATATAGGCACTGTAGTCTCTCTCCATCATTTATCAGAATGTATTAGGAAAATCAAATTCTTTAAAAGACTAATTTGTACATTGTTATTAACTTGGTTTAAGCAGTGTAAGTCATCATCATTGGCAGCCTGCCAGCAAATGATGTCCTAGTGCCTTCATCATCCCTAGTGGCCTGTTAGAGACTTGTGGTGGGTGTGTGTTTGTCTGGTACTGGTTGTCTGTCCTCCCTCAAACGCTGCTCTCAGACGAGGAATGGCAGTGTGTTATGATGTCATGGGTGCTCTCCGTGCCAGCATAGTAATATCCGTGTACTGATGACTTTAACAGGAGCCCAGCAGAAGGGAGCAGCGTGTGTGTATGTGCGGGGGAGTGTGCCTATTGATCCTGGTAGCGGACGAGGCCCCTGGGCTAAATTAGACCACTTCATGCGCTTCACTAATAAAACGCTTGGGTCGGGTCTAACGGAGCAGATGTGCTTTCTTCATTGTTTCCCTACTTTCATTGCTGCCTGTCTGCACCGTCTGTGGCTGGAGACCCCACATTTTTTTGTTCAGGAGGCAACTAGCTGTGACCATGGCTCTAGTCAGGCTCCCCACCAATATGCTGTGTGTTTACCAAGCCCTTGGCTCAGTAGAATTTCCATCTTGTGAGACTACACACACTTAGATGTGCCTCACATGTGCAGAGAACACATAACATGCGGTAAAAATGCAAGGGAACAACGGTTACGTCAGCTAATGATAACATTTCGCTAGATGGTTTGGTTTGCTTGTGTTATATTGTACTCTAGACATTAAAAAAGCACAGACTACAGGAATTTTGGGGCAGCTTTCAGAGGGGCATACGCTTGTTATTGTAATCAGCTACATTGGGGAAGGTGAAATTTGTGGAAATTTGGTTTTATTCAGTGAACCATTCTTTTGAAAGAAAAACAGCCACGACATGTTTGGTTTCTAAAGTTTGCTTGTTTAGGTTTGCACCGGCGCTACAAGGCTAATGAAGCTAATAAGTAATGGAAGTTTATATTCCGTCAGCTAGCATCCCAGATAGCGAACTTGATAAGGTCAGCACTTTGCTGACTATACGCCAGGGCTGGTCCACCCTCGGGTCTCCCAGATTATTGTCTTGCTCACAAGGTCTAACTGGTTTTTAGTCACCTCAAATCGGTTTTAAATGGACATAGCCTTTTATGTTAAAATAAACTAAGGCAGTTATTACAAACAATTCAGAGAAAAAAAATAATGACTAGGCCTAATATAAAACAATTTAATTGAAAATGTTGGTTACAGCTGTATAACCAGCTTTATATATGATATTGCTGTTAAAATGATTTACTAAATTAATGTATAAAGGATAATGAAAGAAAGAATGACAGAAAAATACGTAAACTGGTCTGTGAGTGCAATAAAGTATCTTTGCCATCAGCGGTCTGACAGTGTTGCCATCTGGGATAGTGTAAAGTGTATGCATAAATTTTCCTAAAACAAGTAGTAGTAGAAGCCGTCTTGATGCCTGAATTGTCTACATTTTTGGCATACATTTTCCAGGCTGCTCATTACTGGCCAAACTTTTTAACTACGTTGCTTTGCAGCTCCAGTACAAAACTCAGGAAGCACATACCACACATGTTGGCTGATTATTTTGGGGGGAGGGAAAATTGTGTAAATTTGATTGTAACTATTCTTTTAAAGGTGGACCACTCTGTGAAACCATTGTAATTCAGTGCTTCTTTCCAATTTCCTCCCATTGATCCCAGTGGAACGCTACCCTGATTAGACTCTGTGTCTATGGAAGGTTGGAACAGTGCAGACTGGAACTCATTACTCTTTAGCTTAGCATGTGTCTAAATCCAAAGTGGGGATTTAGCCTCTCAGCTAAACTTCTCCATATGAGAGACTGGAGGTGGTAGTACAGTTTTGCAGAGATGCCATGATGGAGCAGGTTTTTGTATGTGTGTATGTGTGTGTGTGTGTGTGTGTGATATCCTCTTTCAAAGTGGCCCTGCTTGACTGCACCGCGGCAGATTCCTGCGGTCTGCTCTCACTGAAGGCCACGGGAGAGCTTTAGAGAGGGAAAATTCCCTTTGAACTGGCTGCCTGCCACTGCTCTACGCCTTAATGACTTTACCAAAGCTTTAGAAGAAAGGGGTTGGTTTGATTTATTTATTTATTTATTTACTTGTGTTGTTAACTTGATTACTTTTGGAATCCCTTCAACTGTAAGGCCTTTTATCATGCAGCACAATTCTTAGCTACAGAAAGAAAGAAGAAATGAGTTACAGTTTGACGTATTTGATGGTGATTT